CTGGTTTGGCATCCTCGATTCCACCACCAAAATGGTTGCTTAGCAACCCCAGGATGCTTAGATGGACCAGGAAATTCTGAAGCAGCAGCAAGAGCCAGTTTGCGTCTATAACTCCTATTCATTTTCCTCCATATAGCTTGACAAGGTGCAGAAGTGGGGTAGCTGTGGGACAGCTGAGGACAAAAGTGCTTCCTAGACTTCAGAGTCATCTTAGAGTCCTTTAAGCTGTGAAGTTTATCATCAGTCTGAGATGAAAAGAGGGATGACCTTCAAATAGCAGGTCCTACAGAGTCTGCTCAACCTTCTGGGGCAACTCCAAAGACTGTAGACATGAGCACCTGCGTATGGTGATGGCAGAGGCAATGGTCCTAGCAGCTGAATCAGCCATGTCCAAACCAGCCTGAAGTGATGTTCTTGACATTCACTTCCCTTCATCTATCAGTGAAAGAAACTCCTGCTTAGAATCCTCAGCCAACTTGTTTCAGGATCCCAACAAGGGAAGTCAGGGCCTAGGGTCAGAGCAGGGGCAAACCTGAGGCTAGGAGTTGCAGAGGAGTTTGGAGTAAGGGCCAGGCCAGGGTTGATAACAAGGGTCAGAGTCTGAATCAGGAGGCAAAGTCCATATCAAGCCAAGGTTAAACGAGGAATTCAAGACCAAGGAGCAGGAATGGTCATGGCAGCTTCAGAAGATCCACGCTGTTGCCTGGACACTTCCTGGAACTCCTCTGGGATTTATATCGGGCAGAGAGCCAATCGAGAGATATGGGGCTGCCATCTGTAAAACCTTTGAGGCGGAACTTCCCATGGTCTGTGTCCACGGTGGGTCACGGGAAGCAGAGTGCAAGTTGATTGCAGCTGCCGCTGGGTGCCAGCCTGGAGATGTCAGCTGCCTGGTAGCTCTACAGGCCCAGGTTCTAGATCCATGAGGCCTTACAACTTGTCCTTAAATTTTAGAATGGCGTCCCAGATATTAGAGTCATATCGCCCTAATAAAGCCTCCTGGTTAGTGAGTCTAAGCTGTAACCCTGCCATAGAATAATTTCTTCTACCGAACAACTCAAGCTTTTTAGCACTCCTTGATTTAGGGGTAGATGTCAGTTGCCCCGGAGCTCCCTCTCATCATCAGCTGAGACTAGTGACCCCAGAGGGGGATGGGAATAAAAGTGCTCAAAACCTCAGAGGGTTCATAATATTTATGCTCCACTCATTTAGATGTGGGAAGGAGCGAGGAGGAAGTTTGCCAGAGAGAGACTTGATAGGTTCTAAAATTTCCTCATTAAATTGGCAGTGCCACCGAGATGGAGCGGCAGAGGCCAGAATATCAATGAGACAGGGAAAAGATTCCCTGACCTCCTCTACCTGAATGTCCAAGGCCACCCTTTTTAAGAGCTGCTGGTGGACCCTCTAGTCATCAGAAGGGGGCAAAGGCAACCCTAAGGAAACTGCCTCACCTGGTGAGGAGAAAGATGAACCCAGCACAAGCTGGGGCTGTGCGTCCCTGTTCATTGTCCTGCCAAACGTTCATGAACACCTTCTTCCTGCTCTGTATTGGACCCAATAATGGGCTTGACGAGCTGACTCATCATGTTTAGCTGAGGAAACTGAACTTTGGGAGGGTGATCTGGAAACAGGGGGAGCCCCCATGGGTTCCAGAAGGGCAACTGAAAGGGCATTGGACCCCAAAGTCTTGCAGGTCACATGTCCATGTCAGCACCACTCACAGGATCTAGCAAGTGTACCCTGGGTGGTAAGGTTTAGGAGGGGGGAACAGCAAGATACACACTGCAGCTGGGAAACATAAGAGCAAAGGTCCGAGTCAGCAGAAGAGTCACCTTCTCCTGACCAAGGAGGGGCGAATCCAGTCACTGCCAGGGACTGGTGCCAAGAGTCCAGGGAAGAGTGAAGGATAAGAGCTCCAAGACTTCACTTCAGTACCGGGCAAATTGGTTGAAACCATCATAAAGAACAAAATTGTCAGACACATAGATGAACAAAATTTGTAGGGAAATAGTTAACATGGCTTTTGTAAAGAGAAATCATCCCTCACCAATCTACCAGAATTCTTTGAGGGGGTCAACAAGCATGCGGACAAAGGAGATCCAGTGGATATAGTGTATTTAGATTTTCGGAAAGCCTTTAACAAGGTCCCTCACCAAAGGCTCTTAAGCAAAATTAGCAGTCATGGGATAAGAGGGAAGGTTCTCTCATGAATTGGTAACTGGTTAAAAGATAGGAAACGAAGGGTAGGAATAAATGGTCAGTTTTCAGAATGGAGAGAGGTAAATAGTGGTGTCCCCCAGGGATCTGTACTGGACTCAGTCCTATTTAACATATTCATAAATGATCTGGAAAAAGGGGTAAACAGTGAGGTGACAAAATTTGCAGATGATACAAAACTACTCAAGATAGTTAAGTCCCAGGCAGACTGTGAAGAGCAACAAAAGGATCTCACAAAACTGGGTGACTGGGCGACAAAATGGCAGATGAAATTTAATGTTGATAAATGCAAAGTAATGCACACTGGAAAACATAATCCTAACTATACATATACAACGATGGGGTCTAAATTAGCTGTTACCACTCAAGAAAGATCTTGGAGTCATTGTGGATAGTTCTCTGAAATCATCCACTCAACATGCAGCGGCAGTCAAAAAAGCGAACAGAACGTTGGGAATCATCAAGAATGCATCCGATGAAGTGAGCTGTAGCTCACGAAAGCTTATGCTCAAATAAATTGGTTAGTCTCTAAGGTGCCACAAGTACTCCTTTTCTTTTTATCAAGAAAGGGATAGATAATAAGACAGAAAATATCATATTGCCTCTATATAAATCCATGGTATGCCCACACCTTGAATACAGCGTGCAGATGTGGTCACCACATCTCAAAAAAAGATATTGGAATTGGGAAAGGTTCAGAAAAGAGCAACAAAAATGATTAGGGGTATAGAATGGCTTCTGTATGAGGAGAGATTAATAAAACTGGGACTTTTCAGCTTGGGAAAGAGGCGATTAAGGGGGGATATGATAGAGATCTATAAAATCATGAGTGGTATAGAGAAAGTAAATAAGGAAGTGTTATTTACTCCTTCTCATAACTCAAGAACTATGGGTCACCAAATGAAATTAATAAGCAGCAGGTTTAAAACAAACACAAGAAAGTATTTTTTCATGCAATGCACTGTCAAACCTCTGGAATTCCTTGCCCTAGGGTGTTGTGAAGGCCAATACTATAACGGGGTTCAAAAGGGAGCTAGATAGGTCCACCAATAGCTATTAGTCAGTATGGGCAGGAATGGTATCCCTAGCCTCTGTTTGCCAGATGCTGGGATTCGGTGACAGGACATGGATCACTTGATGATAACCTGTCTCTTCATTCCCTTTGGAGCACTTGCCATTGGCCACTGTCAGAGGACAGGATACTGGGCTTGATGGACCTTTGGTCTGACCTAGTATGGCCGTTCTTCTGTTCTAAGACACAGGAGATTGACTCAGTGCTGGGAGCTGCACTGAGGAGCTGGCACCAAGTGGTCAATCGATACCATATAAGCGATCTGCACCGCTGCCCTGATAAGCTCAGCAAGTCCATTGCAGCTTAAAACATCTCTGGAGTAGATGTACTGGGATAGTCTTTGACTGATGTGCAATAGGCGTAGACAGTGTTGGAACTGATGAAGATGCTTCTTCAGGCCCCAGACTCGACAGTCCCTGCCCCAGCACCAGAGTCAACGGTGCTGATATACCTGATGATGAGTGGAGGAGTGCTTCAGTTTTGATTGCACTCTACTCTACACTGTCCCCTTTCTTGGCTGACTTAGCGACTGGGGATCTGCATCTCCCAGCAGCGTCCTTGGAAGCCTTCTGCTTCTTCCTGGGCACAGGCAAGGGAGAGCAGTGCCAGGACTCAGTCAGTATCAGAGCCTCACTTCTTCAGATGCTGAAATGCTCAGTACCATCTCCAATCGAGACGGCTCTGAAGATAGTCTCAGAACAGTCTCTACCAAAAGAAACTTCAGTCTGGTCTCTAGATCTTTCTTGGTTCTAGACTTGAAGTCCTTGCAAATCTGGTACCAATCCTTATATGAAACTTACTCAAGCATTTCAAACAACTAAAGTGAGGGTCACCCACAGGCAAAGGCTTCAGTCATGCCAGGCAAGGCTTGAAGCCCAGTGACTGAAGCATTCCTCAGTACTTATAACAGATCCCCAACCTTGGGGAACCGAGAAAGAACTAACAGACACTAAACTAACTCAACAAACACCAACTATCCTTAATAACTGTACAAACATGTAACTATATACAAGAAAAAACATGCTGAGAGCACTTGCTAACGCAAGACCAACAGATTCGAACCATCATCATGCAAAGTAAGAAGAAACTGAGGCGAGAGAGGTTTCAAGGGCAGCTTGGCCCTATCTGCATGCAGTGGCATGTGGTAGCAGAGGGCACTCAAGCTGCCCCAATGGGTAGCACTGAGGAAAAAATTTCCGACAACTATGCCTAGAGGGTGCACCCACCAAGAGCGGAACACACATGTGCAATCACTCAAAGAACCACCTTTGCTGTCTTGCCTGGACATATAGAGGAAATGTAAATTTGGATTTGAAAAGACTGAAAAAAATAAGGCAATTGAAAAGGAGAGTTCTGTACCTCAGTAGTATCGAACTTGGGAAATGCATTAATGTAATGTACATCTCATTATTTCATTCTCAATCTGTGCACTGTAATTGAAAATAGTACCATTTACATCAAAGCATGCTATAAACTAACACAGTAACATTGAATTCAACAAAAATTACAAACTGGAAATAACTGTTCATTAAGACAATGAAGTCAACCATATCTAGGAGTACTGGGTTGAATCATCTGATACATCTTCTTAATGCAGACTATCATTAGCAGCAATTTCTTGCCAGAAGTGTCCTTATCTGCTCTCAAGTCAATTGCCTTCTTCAGACCTGTTACAGTTAGGTTAGAAAGGAACAGAGAGATAGGAACGGACCTTTGGTTGACGTGAGGTGGAAGATCATTAGATACTTCGCCATTCTCGGACACCATTGGCTTCTCAGAGGCACGGTTTCCAGCTTCTCCTTCTATTAAAAGGAAACACCACCACAGCTTAGTCATAATTACAAGTTTGAAATGTAAATCTAAGATTTTGTACTGCATTATTTTACATTTTATCAAAGCTCATCAGTGTGCCAGTTAACTAAATCCACTACAAAAGAAACACTGAGTTTATTTTTTAAAATTTATTTGTAACCAAAACCTTTTAATCCTGAAATATTTAAAACTATTTAAATATTGAACTTACAGTTCAAATGGATATTGAGAAATAATACTATACTCCAGTATGGTTCGAGTCTGGGGCGTGAAGAAGCATCTTCATCAGTTCCAACACTGTCTATACTCTAACTCTTCACATTCGTTCACAGTACTGTGACCTTTTCCATTTGGAAAAAGATGGCTACTTACCTGTAGCATAATTGTTGTTCTTTGAGATGTGGGTGCAGACATGTATTCTACTCAGGTGTGCGCACGCCCAGACACCAAGGCGAAGAACTTTGCCTAGTAATACATGCAAGGGCGGAGCTAGTGCCCTTTCCCTCGTAGGTTCTACCATGGCTATATAAGGGCAGCACCACCCCAACCCTCCCTCTGTTCCTTTACACCAAAACTGAGGCTGGAAACTCTGATGCAGAGGGGATGAAAAGAAGGAAAGGTTACTCACCCTGTAACTGTAATTCTTCAAGTTGTGTCCCCCAATGGGGTGCTCCACTTCAGGTGCAGATGCACCTCTGAGCAGGTATTTTCATTAGCAGTCTGTTGGGCTATTGTGGAAGCATTCGTGATTAAAGTTCTGGTTCGTGGAAGAAAGGCAAAAGGGACCCCTTTGAAACACACTGCTGTGCTCTATCCATGATTGTAGTGAGTCCAGTAGCTCTAAGGATACTCAGAAAAGGGTGTCCAATGACTAGCAACTTGGGTGACGGACCAACCTCAGACACAACTGATGAGGGCAAAGAGCCTCTCCTGCTGTGCCTTGGAAATACACGAGGCCATATGGCCCAGTAATCTCAGGCATACACAGACCATGGTTGAAGGATGCAATTGGAGAGCCAGACAAAGGTGCCAAATTGTCTGGAATTGTTCTTACCAGAGAAAGACCCTAGACTTTGTAAAGTCTAATAGGGCCCCAATTAATTCAATTTTTTGAGTTGGGATTAGAATTTATTTTCCTTTGTTCAGGATCAGACCCAGCTAACCGAAAAGGTCCAAGTGAACTGGACATGAATGATGACCTGCTTCTTGGATGTGCCTTTCACCAGCCAATTGTCCAAGTACAGAGAGACATGAACCCCTCTCCTTCTGAGAAAGGCTGCCGCCACCATCACAGTCACCCAATCTGGTAAAGACCCACAGGACTGAAGATAGACCAAAGGGGAGAACTGTGTACCGGCAGTGTTGGCCAGTAACAAGAAATCTCAGAATCTTTGTGTGGCCTGGGAAGATTCCTCATTTGAAAATAAGCATACTGGAGAAAGACATCAGCAAACCAGACATTATGATTCAGTACAGAAAGAACAGTAGTCAGGGTAATCACAGAGATCAAGGATAGGTCTCTCTCCTTCCTTGGACTTAGGGATCAGGAAGTACTGGGAGTAGAATCCTTTTCCATGAACATAAGGAGGAAGCTCCTCTATGACCCCCATAGCACACAGGGTTTGCACCTGCTGAGTAAACAATGATAGGAAAGAGACTGGATATGAACTGAACAGCATAATCCGATCACATAGTGCTAAGGACCTACCTGTCTGTAATTATAGCCACCCAAGTACTACAGAAGCGGGACAACCTGTCCTGGAATAGAAAGGACAGGAAAGTGATGTTCCAAGCTGGAGTCCTGCTCTTGAGACTCAAGTCAAATAGGCTGTCAAGTCCACGAGACAAGAAGATGGGCCGTTTGGCTAGAATTAGACCCAGAAAGTCTTCTCTGCAATTTGTGCCCCTTTCTGGAGAAATCCTGCTACCTCATAGAGTAGAGGACTGATGGAAATATCGCTGAGGGGGATATTGCTGCTGTTGTCGATGGCTACCAAAGCTATGTCTCCTTGGGGCCTGCACATAAATCCTCAAGGAGCACGGGGGGGTTGGAGGTCTTTAAAGGAATGCAATGTCTCGTCATTTCTCTCAGTAATGATGAGGTGACCAAAAACAGCAAGTCCTCTATGCTCTGCTAGATTTCACAAGCTATGACAGGGTTTTGCAACCATATAAGATCCTTCTCATTGTAAAGACTAAAGCCATTAGCCTGGATGAAGCATCCACTATATATCCAGAGCTGACTGTAATGATGTCTTGGTCACTAAACGGCCTTCTGCAACAAAAGCCTTGAACTCCTCCCTGAAGGATTCTGGTAACTTATCCACAAATTTGGACATGGGGTCCCAGTTCACAAAGTCATTTTTATACAATAGCACATGCTGGTTGGCAATACACATCTGCATGGGGGACCTGATGAAGAGAGATCCCTCTTCCTTCTGATGAGGAAACTGCGCTCAGCTGAGAAGATCCAGCCTGTACTAATTCAGGCCCCTCAGTACCTCTGACGGGCCTGATGCTCCAGAGTGGTCCCCAGTGCAGAGGCAGAGCTCAGGGCCTGCTTGAGAAGATGCTGCTTTAATCTTAAGTCTCAAGCCACCTGCGTCCTCTTTTTTAAAAAGCTTACAGATGGAGCACCTTTCTCTAATATGCCCTTCCCCCAGACATCATAAACGTCAAGTGTGGGGGACGTTATTGGGGTAGCTACCCTACACAAAGGGCAAACTTTAAACCCTGGTAAGGGCATTCCACCAGGAGAAACTACCTAATTAATTACTACTACCACTACTAACTATTATGACTAACAGATACTACTAACCAACTATAACTATTTTCCAAAGAAACAGAAAAAACTGTGAAGGTAAGTGCGGGGTTTAAAAAAAAAATTTCACCGAAGACTCACTGCCTACAGCAAGCGTCCGAGAAGGAACTGAGGCGGGTGAGGGCAGTGCTGCCCTTATATAGCCACGGGAGGGGCTATGAGGGAAAAGGGTGCAAGCTCTGTCCCTACAGGTACTGCCAGGCAAAATTCTCCAGCTTTGATGTGCTGGGCATGCTCACACAGTTGCAACCACATGAAGAACAAGGATTTCACTCTCTCCTCCAGTTCTTCGAAAGTAACATAGCAAATTTTTCCTCTTAACTTCATATTTGTTCATTATGCAAGGTACATATGAGAGAGGAGATGAAGTTCATAAAAAAGATCATGTTCCATACATTAGGACATTTAAAATCTATTGCAATTACAAGCTTCTATTTCATTCCATTAAATATTTACATTTGCTGTTTCCCCTCTAACAGTGTTCATAGAATCATAGAATATCAGGGTTGGAAGGGACCTCAGGAGGTCACTTAGTCCAACCCCCTGCTCAAAGCAGGACCAATCCCCAACTAAATCATCCCAGCCAGGCCTTTGTCAAGCCTGACCTTATAAACCTCTAAGGAAGAAGATTCCACCACCTCCCTAGGTAACACATTCCAGTGTTTCACCACCCTCCTAGTGAAAAAGTTTTTCCTAATATCCAACCTAAACCGCCCCCACTGCACCTTGAGACCATTACTCCTTGTTCTGTCCTCTGCTACCACTGAGAACAGTCTAGAGCCATTCTCTTTGGAACCCCCTTTCAGGTAGTTGAAAGCAGCTATCAAATCCCCCCTCATTCTTTTCTTCCGCAGACTAAACAATCCCAGTTCCCTCAGCCTCTTCTCATAAGTCATGTGTTCCAGTCCCCTAATCATTTTTGTTGCCCTCCACTGGATGCTTTCCAATTTTTCCACATCCTTCTTGTAGTGTGGGGCCCAAAACTGGACACAGTACTCCAGATGAGGCCTCACCAATGTCAAATAGAGGGGAAAGATCACGTCCCTCAATCTGCTGGCAATGCCCCTACTTATACATCTCAAAATGCTGTTAGCATTTCCAATTAGTTAGTGTTTCCAATTCTTGTTTAGTTATAGTTACATGATTATGATCTCAGTACAGTTGATGCCACGTATTATAAAGATTACTCTAATAAAATACAACTAATCCCCCACCCCGACCCTTGAATGGAATACAAAACTAGTCTGGTCAAAGGGAATCTCAACATTTCCTCATGCTAAATCTATGAAGATTGTCTTCTGAATCTGTCTTTTTCAAGCTGAGTTTAAATAGACATAAGAATGGCCCTACTGGATCAGACCAAAGGTCCATCTAGACCAGTATCCTGTCTTCTGACTGTGACCAATGCCAGATCCCCCAGAGGGAATGAGCAGAACAGGTAATCATCAAGTAATCCACTCCCAGCTACTGTCAAACAGAGGCTAGGGACTCCATCCCTGCCCATCCTGGCTAATAGCCATTGATGGACCTTTCCTCCATGAATTTATCTAGTTCTTTTTCTGTTCTCTCTGACAAATAACTGTGCAGGTTAGTAGGATATAAACAGTTCCTCAGGCTTTGCAACCGTATTTCTGTGGATACTTTTTATAAGTAAACATAAAAATTAGAAAAAACAATATTAGAGGCAGAAAGCATTCGATACCCTTACAACCAATCTTAAAATTTGTATAAACAGATATTTAATGACTTTTCCTATTTAGTATTGATTTGTTCAGATAGTGCTCTAAGAGAAGACTAACTCTCTAAGAAGTTTGTCTTCTGCCCCCATAAACTTTAGTTCTGATACCTCCGAAGAATGGCTCCGTCCCAGTAAACCAGGCTCTGAGTCATCAAGGTATTTATGCATATGCCTAACTTTGAGCATGTGTGACACCACTGCCCTCAATGGGGCTACCCACATGTTTAAGTACTTTGCTGACTGGGATATCATTTGTTCACTTAACTTTTTTATTTTTACCCTGTGCCCTGAACAATTCATTTATTACCAGTAAGACATCCCCTTTCTTTTTTCATTGGCAAATAGATAGTAAGGATTTTTTAAAGTTAAAATTAACTTAATGCAGCACCCAGGCATTTTGAATACGTAGTCTACTGATTTACTTCGTTAGAGTAAAAGAATAGGCATGAACACATTTAATGTACAAAAATGCTACTTTAACTTTAAAGTTGATAGTACAAACTAATGAATAAGGAAATTAGGAGTTAACAAGCCATATCACCCTTAAGCAAGAGAGGACAAATAGTTCAGTGACTTAATATCTAGGCTAAGAACAGGTTTTCTGATTCTCATTGTTGACTCTGACGGGCTTTGTGTGGCCCTCGCAAATCATGTAAGCCTTCCTGTTTCTCAGTTTCCTCATATATAAAATAGGCATAATATTTCTCTGTCCCACACAAATGAAGAATACCACAGATTGCTTATAAAAGTAGGAAGTAATTTCTTAGTAAAGCACATGACAGTATGCATTAAGATCCACTGACTGAGAGACTGCACATATGCACAATACTAAGTTACTTAGAGACTACAGTGATGGAGCTTTAGAGAAGACTTAGGCAGCCTTAACTCAGAGTGCTTTGTTATGATTAGTGTGAAGGTCAGGCCTTTTTCTTTTTAATGATAGGTTTCAGAGTAACAGCCGTGTTAGTCTGTATTTGCAAAAAGAAAAGGACTACTTGTGGTACCTTAGAGACTAACCAATTTATTTGAGCATAAGCTTTCGTGAGCTACAGCTCACTTCATCGGATGCATTCAGTAGAAAATACAGTGGGGAGATTTATATACATAGAGAACAAGAAACAATGGGTTACTATACTTAAGTGCTTACCAGCAGGAGAGCGGGGCGGGGGGGGGGAGGAGGGGGCAGGAAACCTTTTGTAGTGATAATCAAGGTGGGCCATTTCCAGCAGTTGACAAGAATGTGTGAGGAACAGTGGGGGGTGGAGGGGGGGAATAAACATGGGGAAATAGTTTTACTTTGTGTAATGACCCATCCACTCCCAGTCTCTATTCAAGCCTAAGTTAATTGTATCCAGTTTGCAAATTAATTCCAATTCAGCAGTCTCTCGTTGGAGTCTGTTTTTGAAGTTTTTTTGTTGTAATATTGCGACTTTTAGGTCTGTAATCGAGTGACCAAAGAGATTGAAATGTTCTCCGACTGGTTTTTGAATGTTATAATTCTTGACATCTGATTTGTGTCCATTTATTCTTTTACGTAGAGACTGTCCAGTTTGACCAATGTGCATAGCAGAGGGGCATTGCTGGCACATATCACATTGGTAGATGTGCAGGTGAACGAGCCTCTGATAGTGTGGCTGATGTGATTAGGCCCTATAATGGTATCCCCTGAATAGATATGTGAACACAGTTGGCAACGGGCTTTGTTGCAAGGATAGGTTCCTGGGTTAGTGGTTCTGTTGTGTGGTGTGTGTGGTTGCTGGTGAGTATTTGCTTCAGGTTGGGGGGCCATCTGTGAGCAAGAACTGGCCTGTCTCCCAAGTTCTGTGAGAGTGATGGGTCGTCCTTCAGGATAGGTTGTAGATCCTTGATGATGTGTTGGAGATGTTTTAGTTGGGGGCTGAAGGTGATGGCTAGTGGCGTTCTGTTATTTTCTTTGTTGGGCCTGTCCTGTAATAGGTGACTTCTGGGTACTCTTCTGGCTCTGTCCATCTGTTTCTTCACTTCAGCAGGTGGGTATTGTAGTTGTAAGAATGCTTGATAGAGATCTTGTAGGTGTTTCTCTGTCTGAGGGGTTGGAGCAAATGCGGTTGTATCGTAGAGCTTGGCTGTAGACAATGGATGGTGTGGTGTGGTCTGGATGAAAGCTGGAAGCATGTAGGTAAGTATAGCGGTCAGTAGGTTTCTGGTATAGGGTGGTGTTTATGTGACCATCGCTTATTAGCACTGTAGTGTCCAGGAAGTGGATCTCTTGTGTGGACTGGACCAGGCTGAGGTTGATGGTGGGATGGAAACTGTTGAAATCATGGTGGAATTCCTCAAGGGCTTCTTTTCCATGGGTCCAGATGATGAAGATGTCATCAGTGTAGCGCAAGTAGAGTAGGGGCATTAGGGGACAAGAACTGAGGAAGCGTTGTTCTGAGTCAGCCATAAAAATGTTGGCATACTGTGGGGCCATGCGGGTACCCATAGCAGTGCCGCTGATTTGAAGGTATACATTGTCCCCAAATGTGAAATAGCTATGGGTGAGGACAAAGTCACAATGTTCAGCCACCAGGTTAGCAGTGACATTATCGGAGATACTGTTCCCGACGGCGTGTAGTCCATCTTTGTGTGGAATGTTGGTGTAGAGGGCTTCTACATCCATAGTGACCAGGATGGTGTTTTCAGGAAGATCACCGATGGATTGTAGTTTCCTCAGGAAGTCAGTGGTGTCTCGAAGATAGCTGGGAGTGTGGTAGCGTAGGGCCTGAGGAAGGAGTCTACAGAGCCAGACAATCCTACTGTCAGGATGCCAATGTGCCACAAGTACTCCTTTTCTTTTTAATGTGTTCTATTTGGTTTATTAATGGCACAGTTTTACTATTCACACTGTAAAGCCATCACTTGGCATCATGATTTTCTTCTAACTTTGGGGGGAAGTGTGTGCATGGTTTTTCCTGGCCTCCATGCACACCCAACTCCCATTAAAAGGTTCCCTGCAAGACTTTAAAATTAAGCGAGGAGTGCAGGCTGCTAACTGAATTTAGCCTTTAAAACGAAAATCAGCTGTACTCAAGTTAGCAACAGAGGGAAACCAGATATCTCAAAATGCATCCCTCTTTGATATAACAGCTACCAATAAACTCTGCTGGAGTACAGAGTTGGCCTAAAAGTAGCCAGGAAAATGGCATGGCTATTATATGGAGCAGTTACAGAGTCTTTAAAATATTATTTAACCTGGAGATGAAAACCATACTACATATAAAACTTCACTTTAGTGAACTCTTCTGGGCTCCTAAGTGCAAGAGGGGGAAATGGTAGCTGCAACATCACAGCATAACAGACTGTGGAACATCACAGCAAAATACCAATGACTTTAAAGAGTTGGTATATTTTATTTTTCTAAAAGGCAGTTACTAACAGAATTATCCATCCCATGCTATTTGGGAAGTAAATTTTGCAGATCAGCTTTAACATAAATTGAAGCCGTAAACACATAAATGGGGGCGGGGGGACACTGGGGGAAAGGAGAGAGACCAATGTCTTTCTAAACTAGTACTTACATTAGGAAAGTGGAAGATGGAAATGCCACTGAAGTAGATGGTGAAATAACTACCTACAGTATTTGCAAGGCAAGTTCCATGCAGTGTCTGCTTATTCTCAAAATATATAAAGCAGTTATAATTTAAAAAAATAAACATACAGAAACACCACTTAGCCCTAAATACAGACCAACTCCTAGAGTAACTTATTATTTTTGACTTAGAACTACTTGAATAAAAAATTAAGTGTGAAAACAGATCATTTTATATTTCATTTTTGTTTATGAATTAAACGTTCTTTAATGTATACTGCTGTAAGTGTAAAAAATACACCATTAAAACTATAAAAATTATTTAATACTACAATGACGAATTTAATTTTAACTGTGGATAGGTATTTTGTGAGTGCTATTTATATTTCAGTGTAATCCTTACTATACCTGCATCACTGGCAGATTCCCCTGAAAAAAAAACAAAAACACATTTATCAATCTTCAGATAAGAAATTCTATATCTTGCTAGAGAAAATAATGATCAAGTTAGACTTCTAGCACTAAAACAGAACTACAGAAAAGTACAACCCACAAAGGGATTGAATCATTACCACGGAGAGCAAATAATTTAGTGGAGTACTCCAGGTATAGAATCACAGTCTGTTCTATGATGCTGTAGTTATTATGCAGAACACAGATTAGTGTCTTAATCATGGGCTGAAACAATTTTAATGAAAGACAAGAAACTCCTGAAGCTTTCACCTGACCAGACCATAGGGAGCTGCCTCACTTCGACATAAATGTAGCATAATCCACAATTACGCGAACAAATGAAAGGTGTAAAGAAAAACTCAGAGATGAGAATATTTAGAAGCAGTCATCACAAGCACCCTATAAACCCTTTAAAGCACTACGTATATTATAAGGAAAGCTATGTTCAATTCTTATAATCTGTTGCTGCAAATGTGAATGCCTGCAAAGACACTGGTATGGAAATGTGAAGGGGGCCCAATGCAGTGAGACAGACATCTGCCTTGAATTCCACTGTGATTATCTGGGTGCAATAGATTAATGATCTCTGAATGATAACTCCTAAAGAATTCCTAAAGTAAACTGAAAAGGTATTGAATATCCCATGTGACCATACATCTAAGCCAACCTATCGCCAATTAGCAAAATTTAAGAAACTAACCATTGCCAGCAAAGGGATCATTTAACCTAAACTCCCTTTAGAACAATAGAAATTTCTCTCAATAGAGCTCAAGTAAGATTTCCTATTAGATATTGGCTAAGTAGGCAATCCTAGTGGAGAACTTCCTATGATTGAGTAGGACTTCTTGAACAGCCGCAGAATGCTGCTCCTTCTCTTCATTCAGCCATGTAGCAACACGACTAAGATGCAGGGAGCTGATCACATGATGGATCCCATGGTCCTGAGCAAGCAGATTGGGAAAGAGAGGAATTGATATGGGAATTGATATCAACTGGCAGAGCAAGGAGGTATGAGAATCAGCACTGTCTCAGCCATGCTGGAGCAATGAGTATGAGCTTGGCCTGATCCACCTCGAGTTTGAGGATGATGTGTTGGATGACCAGAATGGGGGGAGCATAAAGAGCCAACTGCCAGCTGCAGTGGAAGGCATCAGAGAGGGAACGCAGACTGAGGCCACCCTTGGAGCAGAATAGGCGACACTTTCTATTTCCCCTCATTGCAAACAGGTCGATCACAGGGGTGCCACGTGTTGCAAAGATGATCTGGAGAACACTCTCCTCCAGGGACCACTCATGGCTCAGGGGAAAAACTCTACTGAGATGGTCCTCAAGACGATTTTTCACCCCCGACAACTGGACTGCTGCTCTAGTGATGTCTTCCCTTGATGCAAAACTGCCACAGATTGATCGCCTCCAGATAGAGTAAACTGGAATGCTCCCCCCTTGCTTATTCACACAGTACATCGTGGTGGTATGGTCTGAGTATGTGAACCACTGAATGTCTGATGCAGTTCTGCAAGGCACAACATGCCTTGTGGTAAGCCCGAAGTTCCAGCACATTGATATGGATGAAGGCTTCCTATTCTGACCGCAGGCCCTACACCCTCAATGAGTCCTGATGCACATCCCAACCCAGAAGGGACGTGTCAGTAACCACTGACTTGGTCAGAGGGCCGAGCAAGGGGGACCCCTGGCACAGATTGTATGGGGACTCCCACCAATGAAGGGAATCTAGGACTGGCAGCGGAAGGTGAACCAACCTGTCCAGAGGATGCAACACAGGGCAGTAAACTCTCCTGAGCCATATCTGAAAGGGGCAGAAGGTGCAACCTGGCGAACTGGGCCACCTGTGTGCAGGCAGACATGTGGCGCAACAAGCTCAGGCACACACAAACTGTTGTGGATGGCTGGGATTGCAGACTGAGGCAGATGCTGAATTGCCTGGAAGAGGTCGGTCGGCAGGAATGCTCTCAACCTCGTGGAGTCTAACATGGTCATAATAAACTCGACTTTTTGAGTAGAAGCCAAGATTGACTCTGCGGTTTTTAAAATGAGTCCCAGATGGTCAACAAAATGCAACATGATATTGACGTGGGTGAGATCATCATCTCTGGAGCCACCCTTCAACCACCAGTTGTTGAGATACAAGAACATGTGGATTCCCTTCCTCCTGATATATTCCATGACCACCACCAGACATTTGGTGAAGACTTACGGGGGTAAAAGAAAGACTGAACAGGAGAACCGTATATTGAAAGTAGCATTTTCCGACTACGAAACACAGAAACTTCCTGTGGCTCTACAGAATGCCCACATGAAAGTACCCATTCTGAAAGTCCAGACCAACGAACTAGTCATTCTGAGACTAGCGCAGGGAGGACAGCCGACAGAGTGACCATGTGGAGTCTCATGTACTTGATGAATTAGTTGAGGCCGTGAAGGTCAAGACTAGGTTTTATCCCACCCATAGACTTCTCTCTCTTGTGGGGTCTATCCCACTCTTTCTAGGCCAGCCCCATTGTTTCGGGGGAAAGGCTGAGCAAATCATAGAATCATAGAATATCAGGGTTAAAGGGACCTCAGGAGGTCATCTAGTCCACCCCCCTGCTCAAAGCAGGACCAATCCCCAATTAAATCATCCCAGCCAGGGCTTTGTCAAGCCTGACCTTAAAAACTTCTAAGGAAGGAGATTCTACCACCTCCCTAGGTAACGCATTCCAGTGTTTCACCACCCACCTAGTGAAAAAGTTTTTCCTAATATCCAACCTAAACCTCCCCCACTGCAACTTGAGACCATTACTCCTTTTCCTGTCCTCTTCCACCACTGAGAATAGTCTAGAACCATCCTCTTTGGAACCACCTCTCAGGTAGTTGAAAGCAGCTATCAAATCCCTCCTCATTCTTCTCTTCTGTAGACTAAACAATCCCAGTTCCCTCAGCCTCTCCTCATAAGTCATGTGTTCCAGACCCCTAATCATTTTTGTTGCCCTTCGCCGGACTCTCTCCAATTTTTCCACATCCTTCTTGTAGTGTGGAGCCCAAAACTGGACACAGTACTCCAGATGAGGCCTCACCAATGTCGAATAGAGGGGAACGATCATGTCCCTCGATCTGCTTGCTATGCCCCTACTTATACATCCCAAAATGCCATTGGCCTTCTTGGCAACAAGGGCACACTGTTGACTCATATCCAGCTTCTCATCCACTGTCACCCCCAGGTTCTTTTCCGCAGAACTGCTGCCTAGCCATTCGGTCCCTAGTCTGTAGCGGTGCATTGGATTCTTGCGTCCTAAGTGCAGGACCCTGCACTTATCCTTATTGAACCTCATCAGATTTCTTTTGGCGCACTCCTCCAATTTGTCTAGGTCCCTCTGTATCCTATCCCTGCCACCTTATCTACCACTCCTCCTAGTTTAGTATCATCCGCAAATTTGCTGAGGGTGCAATCCACACCATCCTCCAGATCATTTATGAAGATATTGAACAAAACTGGCCTGAGGACCGACCCTTGAGGCACTCCACTTGATACCGGCTGCCATCTAGATATGGAGCCATTGATCACTACCCGTTGAGCCCGACAATCTAGCCAACTTTCTACCCACCTTATAGTGCATTCATTCAGCCCATACTTCTTTAACTTGCTGACAAGAATACTGTGGGAGACCGTGTCAAAAGCTTTGCTAAAGTCAAGAAACAATACATCCACTGCTTTCCCTTCATCCACAGAACCAGTAATCTCATCATAGAAGGCGATTAGATTAGTCAGGCATGACCTTCCCTTGCTGAATCCATGTTGACTGTTCCTGATCACTTTCCTCTCATGTAAGTGCTTCAGGATTGATTCCTTGGGGACCTGCTCCATGATTTTTCCAGGAACTGAGGTGAGGCTGACTGGCCTGTAGTTCCCAGGATCCTCCTTCTTCCCTTTTTTAAAGATTGGCACTACATTAGCCTTTTTCCAGTCGTCCGGGACTTCCCCCGATCGCCATGAGTTTTCAAATATAATGGCCAATGGCTCTGCAATCACAGCCGCCAATTCCTTTAGCACTCTCGGATGCAACGCATCCGGCCCCATGGACTTGTGCACATCCAGCTTTTCTAACTAGTCCCTAACCACTTCTTTCTCCATAGAGGGCTGGCCACCTACTCCCCATGCTTTGTTGCCCAGTGAAGCAGTCTGGGAGCTGACCTTGTTCGTGAAGACAGATGCAAAAAAAGCATTGAGTACATTAGCTTTTTCCACATCCTCTGTCACTGGGTTGCCTCCCTCATTCAGTAAGGGGCCCACACTTTCCTTGGCTTTCTTCTTGTTGCCAACATACCTGAGGAAACCCTTCTTGTTACTCTTAACATCTCTTGCTAGCTGCAGCTCCAGGTGCGATTTGGCCCTCCTGATTTCATTCCTACATGCCTGAGTAGCATTTTTATACTCTTCCCTGGTCATTTGTCCAATCTTCCACTTCTTGTAAGCTTCTTTTTTATGTTTAAGATCCACAAGGATTTCACCGTTAAGCCAAGCTGGTCGCCTGCCATATTTACTATTCTTTCGACACATCGGAATGATTTGTCCCTGTAACCTCAATAGGGATTCTTTGAAATACAGACAGCTCTCCTGGACTCCTTTCCCCCTCATGTTATTCCCCCAGGGGATCCTACCCATCAGTTCCCTGAGGGAGTCGAAGTCTGCTTTCCTGAAGTCCAGAGTCCGTATTCTGCTGCTTACCTTTCTTCCCTGTGTCAGGATCCTGAACTCGACCAACTCATGGTCACTGCCTCCCAGATTCCCATCCACTTTTGTTTCCCCTACTAATTCTTCCCGGTTTGTGAGCAGCAGGTCAAGAAAAGCTCTCCCCCTAGTTGGCTCCTCCAGCACTTGCACCAGGAAATTGTCCCCTACATTTTCCAAAAACGTCCTGGATTGTCCGTGCACCGCTGTAGTGCTCTCCCAGCAGATATCAGGATGATTGAAGTCGCCAATGAGAACCAGGGCGTGCGATCTAGTAGCTTCTGCGAGTTGCCGGAAGAAAGTCTCATCCACCTCATCCCTCTGGCCCGGTGGTCTATAGCAGACTCCCACCACTACATCACTCTTGTTGCTCACACTTCTAAACTTAATCCAGAGACACTCAGGTTTTTCTGCAGTTTCATACTTGAGCTCTGAGCAGTCATACTGCTCCCTTACATACAGTGCAACTCCCCCACCTTTTCTGCCCTGCCTGTCCTTCCTGAACAGTTTATAACCATCCATGACAGTACTTCAGTCATGTGAGTTATCCCACCAAGTCTCTGTTATTCCAATCACATCATAATTCCTTGCCTTCACCAGGACTTCCAGTTCTCCCTGCTTGTTTCCAAGGCTTTGTGCATTTGTATATAGGCACTTGAGATAACCTGCTGACCGCCCCTCATTCTCAGTATGAGGTAGGAGCCTTCCCCTCACAAACGTTCCTGCCTGTGCTTCCTCCCAGTATCCTGCTTGCCCACTTACCTCAGGACTTTGGTCTCCTTCCCACGGTGAACCTAGTTTAAAGTCCTCCTCACTAGGTTAGCCAGCCTGCTCGCAAAGATGCTCTTTCCTCTCTTCGTTAGGTGGAGCCTGTCTCTGCTCAGCACTCCTCCTTCTTGGAACACCATCCCATGGTCAAAAAATCCAAAGCCTTCTCTCCGACACCATCTGCGCAGCCATTCGTTGACTTCCACAATTCGACGGTCCCTACCCCGGCCTTTTCCTTCCACGGGGAGGATGGACGAGAACACCACTTGCGCCTCAAACTCCTTTATCCTTCTTTCCCAGAGCCACGCAGTCCGCAGTGATCCGCTCAAGGTCATTCTTGGCAGTATCATTGGTGCCCACGTGGAGAAGCAGGAAGGGGTAGCGATCCGAGGGTTTGATGAGTCTCGGCAGTCTCTCCGTCACATCGCAAATCTTAGCCCCTGGCAAGCAGCAGACTTCTCTGTTTTCCCGGTCAGGGCGGCAGATAGATGACTTAGTCCCCCTGAGGAGAGAGTCCCCGACTACCACCACCCGCCTCCTTCACTTGGGAATGGAATGCTGCGGGAAATATTGCTACTGCTGCACCACCCCACAGGGCATCTTTGTGCCGACAGCATGGACACTCCCAAGGACCACAAAGTAGCCCTGGAATCCTTGAAGAAGCGCAAAGTGTCATCCGACCTCTCTGAAAACAAGACTCAGCTGTCAAAGGGCTAGTCCTTTATGGCTTGCTGGACATCTAGAGCGATCTCAGAGTTTTGCAGCCAAGAAGCCCTCCTCATGGTTACTGCTAAGGCTATGGCCCTGACCCCAGTAACTGCAACATCAATGGCGGATTTCAGAGATGTTGTGGCAACTAAACAGTCCTCTGAAACAAATGCCTAGAACTCCTCACATGAGGCCTCGGGCACCTGCTCCTCCAATTTAGCCATGGCTGATCAATTAAGGAAATCATACATGGCCAGTAAAGCTTGTTGACATCTCTAGGGACGATGAGGTATGGTTTCCCCCTGAATATCTACAGGCTTTTAGCCTGCATTCTTGATTTGTTTCTAAATTTTAATTTGGTTACAGTATCTACTTACCCTTTCAATTAGGTATTCTTATATTGTAATCCTCAGGAACTGAGGTTTTAAAATAGTGAAATAAGGATGAGGAGATGGAATTTGCTCTAAAATCTTGTACAGGGTTAGCAGGCTGCGACAGTCTGTAGATATGCAGGGGGAAACCCATCCACTTGAACAAATGGGGACATCCTGCAATCACTCAATTCTGGGATGGAAAGTCATCAAGACGGGGTGCAGCTGGCCTGTCTCTCCTCGGACGTAAGGGAGCATGCTGATTGCTTCTTTTGACAGTTCTGCCTGCATTGGAGTGCAAGTGCAACAACAATGTAGTCTGTTACCACACTTCCCTCTCCCATTCAGCATTGTTTGTATCCCCCCCACAGCATGCCAGCAACAAAGTTCAGTTTGTGGGGAGAAAAACAATAGTTGCTTGGTCACCATAGGAAGGACACAGAGAATAAAAATAGACCAGAAAATAAAGCTTTAGGATGTCTAACAAGGGTTTCAAATCTATTATCGCATTATTCATGAATACAACTAGAGAATAGATGTGGAGTGGCTCATCTCTACCACTCAGAGTACCACCACCTATCTTCAAGTTTTGACTTGAAAGGCATTCTGCTTCAGTAGGGAGTAAAGACCTTACTAGGAAAGGTATGATTTCTGAACTATGAAGTTCACGAATAGTTACAGGGTGAGATTAAATTACAGGGGAGCATCTGAATTAGGTAGAAAAGAACACAACTTAACTTCTTAGATGTACTTAAGAGCATGGACCCAAATAAGGAATTCTGAGGAGTGAACAAGGTTTTATTCTTCTTACCTTGGTGTTTTATTGCAGGTCTGGGGTCAGCTTTTGCATGCAATATGCTAGCTGCTTTTTCATCTGAAACACTATCTGCAGGACTATTCGTTTCCACTATTCCTAGCATAAAAGAATTTACAAGAGGAAGAAATTAGTCATATAATAAAAGTTTAGAATAAATTGCTGTGCTAAATATTTAATCCACTTAACTACCTGTTTAAAGATTACTCTGGTTTAATGAATTATCTTGAGTGCAAATAAGGAAAGTTACAAATTTACAATGGCTTTTCACATAATTAGTGAAGTACAAAAAAAAAAAAAAAATCACCACAGCAAGTTTTTCATCCCAAGAAGCAAAAGACTGAACTATGTAAGTTACAAACGCAAGAAAGTTTATTCTATTCAGGAGCAGTTTACAAATATATAGTATCATTTACTAGAAGGGTAAGTCCTTAAATGAAACTGTATTTACCTAGTAAAACCTAAGCAGTTACTGAAGTATGCTTTCTGGATTATATGGCAAATAACTGACTGATTCAGTTCCAATAACTTTCCATTACATGGTATTCAGTAATAAAATTGTGAAGTGTTATCAAGTAACTACTTCCAAAACATGCAATATGCGCACCATACAATTTGAAATTAATCACATAACAAAATGCCTAAATCCATGGTTATTGTCCAACTTTTTAATGCTACGTAGAAGTACAGTTATTTTGGTACAGTCCATGCTAAAATGATGGAAGAGATTTCATATGCCCACTACCTTAAACTACTTTCCCAGGTGTATGTATAATGAGAGGACACTTAACAAATGCAAGGTAATTCATATCAGAAAGAATAATATGAACTACTCATGCAGATTGCTGGGTGCTATATTAATTGCAACCACTCTGAAAAAGGAGGTAGGGCATCACTGTGGCCAGCTCAATGAAACCTCTGCGCACTGAGCATCCATGGTCAAAAAAGCAAACCAATTGTTAGGACATATAAAAAACAGGACAGAAAATAATACTAGAAGTATTATAATACCATTATATAAATCAATGGTTTGCCTTCGCTGGAATAATGTGTTCAGTTGTCACCCTTGCCCCCAAAAACTACAGCAGAAGTAGAATGGGTCCAGAGATAGGCAATGAAAAAGATTAAAAACATGGCAAGACTAGTGTAAGGAGAGATTGAAAAGACTAGGACTGTTTAGAGGAGAAACAAGAGGGGACACGATAGAGGTACACAATGTAATGAATAGTAGAGAGAAGGTAAATCAGGTGCTCTTATTTAGCTTTGCTCATCAGAAAAGAAGACAGGGACATTCACAGAAAAGGAAAGGCAACCAATTTAAAACTGTTACAAATTTGGACCACCACACACAATCAATCTATATAACTCTGACATAAGCTATCCATGAGGCCAAGAGCTTAGTAGGAATCAAAAAAGGAATAGACATTTGTATGGATGGTGAAAACATCCAGGTACATTAGAAAAGAATATTGACATGCACAAGGGATATGAACCCTCATACATCAGAGTGTAAGCCAACCACTAATGGTTTTAGGAATAAATATATCTCGTTGACAGGTTAGTTCATAATTGTCCACTAGAGAATTCCTTTGAAGCATCTGCTAGTAACAACTGTCAGAAACAGAATACTGGACTATATGGACCACTGAGCTAATCTGGTATAGTAATTCCTATATTACATCAACTAGCTAGAAAGGTGGACAAGGAAGACACTGCTATTGCAGGAGTGTTTAATAGAACGTTATTAAACCCTATTCAGCTATGACATACCAAGCACTGTTTTCTCTTACCTGGCTCTTGCATTGTAGTGACTGACTCAGCTTTCTCTTTTAATATACTAGCTGCTTTCTCAACCAAGACACTAGTGGCAGTTTTACTAACTTCCTTTCTTCCTGACATAAAATAGTTTACAATGAGATATATACTATACACATCAGGGACATAATCCCAAACATTTCAAAATCAGTTGCTGCATTATGTAATGTGTTCACAAGCTACCCAGCATGCATCTCGGTTGTCAAGAGCATCCTACCATATGTTTATTCTTCAGATTTACAAACCACAAAGGTGGAGTGCTTTTGCTGCCTTCTGGGTAGGCAAGATGACACTCTTGACGATCATGCAGATATGGCTGTGGATCCACTGACATTTCACAAATGTTTTTAATGTAAAATTCACAAGCTTTCCTCCTCTCCCAATATAAAGGATGCATTTTTATATTACTTTATAAACATTTTACTTTTGACATGAATACACAGGCAAAGAGGCTTTAAATCTTGTAAGTGATCTACTCCTAACACTTGCACAAAAATTAGTATTTTCTTTACATGAGGACAAAATGCTTTAGTGAAACAATGTTATGAAACAAAAATATTCATTCTTTTAAAAGGAAGGCTGTTCACATGCTCTGTTAAAGACAATTATAGACCAAAAATCACAACTGATTTAATGGAAGGAGTTATTTAAACATCACTGACAACTGCAACATATAATTTATGGATTAACTTAATATTTGCATTGCTATACAATTAGTTTTACTACAAGACATGCTACAACAGTGAAAATAGCTCATCACCAACTTGAATGACAGTAGATTTAACGTTTAACTACACAGGATAATTAAAAAAATTTAAAATGGCAATATTGAAAAATTATTCTTAATAATAAGGATGGGCAAAATATGGCATCATTGGCTATGACTAGTGAGTATTCATTAAGCTGGAAAGGTTCCTGTAGTTTCCATTTCAGTTTTATTAACACGACTGCATTTGCAGGTCTATTTGTAGTGCAAGCATCTTTTCTTCCTGGCATTATTTCTTTTAGATTTAACATTAAAAAACATTCAAAGCTCTGAGTCCCCTGACAAACTTCCAACAGCCACAAAATAATTTGCAACAGGCATTAACACAGGAAATAAATGGGTCTAAGGCACATTGGCACTTTTGGAAATCCTACCAGGTGCCTAAGTACTTTTCAATATTGTACCCATGATCTGATGTAACATGTTAGCTTTTTACCTGACACACCTCGGAACCAAACTAGCTTGGGATCAGTTTCTGAACACAGGGGATTTGAGTCCTGTACATAGACAAAGTGGTTTGAATGGTACACCATGATTAGCAATCTGCACAAAAGCTGGAATAGCAGGAATGTTCCAGGCCAAGACTAAGGGATGTGGGGAACTAAACATCTCACTTGCCTAAACTGTGAGTCTTTCTCAGCAGTATTTCTTACCTTTTTAAAAACCAGGTAGAGGAAGAAAGTGAAAATTCACCTTTTAAAAATCAATGCAAGTGTCTAAATTAATGTAAAAATCAGAATGATTGCTGCTGCAATCAATGTGAATAGTGTTAAATCTTTAAAGTGTTCAAAAATGAGAAAAGTATGATCCACATTAAACAGTTAAAATGAATGAAGTAAGGGGGGGGGGGGAATCATAGAATATGGAAACGCCAACTAAAGTACCAAAACATGAGACATGGTTAATGGACAGGTTGGTTCTTACCTAGCTGTTTCACTATAGTGTCCTTCCTGGCTTTCATATATGAAGGGCTAAGCTTTTTTTCAGTTGACACACTAGCTGCACTGTTTTTAGATTCCTTTCTTCCTGACGTGAAAGTTATGAGATAAGCATTTAGGATATTTTAAAAGAAATGTTATAGACTCAATTGGTGTACAAATACCATATCTAATGCACTTACTAACTACAGGTGGTGACCTAATCAGCTGGAATGAAGAACCTTAAAAGATAAACAAGATAGGTTACATTTTTGCAAAGTACAGGACAGCTGTTCCTAGGCATAGCTAGAATTAACTAAAGACTAAAATCTTCACTTAAACACGGTCTAAGGAGATAAAGAGAAATTCTTAGAAGGAGAATGTGGCAACAGAGGTGAAGAGTTGGTATCAGGCTCAAGTCTGCTATGGTCTGTAGGAATTCAAACAGATCCCCATACAATAACTTAAATTGCCTATTCATACGAATAGATTGGTGGTCTCAGTCCACTTCCTAATGGGCAAGTGTGGCCATCACAGAACCATTGCCACAACTGATAACTTGGACAGTCTTAGGACAGAGGCCAAGGACTGAAACTTGGAGACAACTACATCTTTACTTACTGATCTTTTCACATACAGTCATGGTATGCTGGCAGGGTGGCAAGTGAAAGGCTTACGTTGCTGCTTGCTCCATCTGTATCTGTCCTACAGATGCCTTCAGTTTGCATGCTGTCAAAGCAGGCACTTTTCACATGTACTCATTTTTTTTCTTGTTAACGAGTTAATTATGAACCCAAATCATAGCAAAAGTTTGATTAGTACACTTGATCCCAACATTACACTAAAGCAGGAAACCCAGGAGAGTCTCTTGGAAAATTTTCTGCTTGATTTATCCATGGGGCTTTTTTGGTGTTTGGAGATGGCACAGAAGTAATTTTCTAATATTGATAGGAACCTAGTTTTCTTTTTTCCATATGATTCACCTTGGTATACACAGTTAATTTTCACTCACTATGGTACTACATTTCACTTGAAAATCATGTTTGAAATGAGAGAAAGGTGGAATATCAAATGTCTCAATAAGCATACAGTTGTTTGCTACAGCTTCCTTTCCTTCACAGCACTGTGACTTTCCATGTAACACCCAGAAGATGACAATGTGAACACAACCATTCAAGCATGTATGCTAAGACTCTGATGGTGTACTAATACTCTTTCCTAATGCTGGTGCCCACTTCTGCAGTAAGGGAAGTGCCTTAAACAATGTGATTTATTTACAAAGTAAAAGTATTTCTTAGGTTTTTCTAAGATCACAGCATTAAACTGATCATTGAATACTGTGGTTTCAGAGCACAAAAGTTCTGACAGAGAAGACATTTGACATCCATGACAACAGCCACTTTGGGTACAAGAACCGGCAAAAATGAGAAAAGGAACAGAAACGAGAAACACATGACTTTCTAAACTTCGGTTTAAACTGGTTTAGTATAGATCAAGCGTCTGTGACACAGAGATCTAGCTTCTTCCTGCATATGCCACAACAGCACGGCCTATCCACGCTAGCAATGTGAAAATTCTTTGATTCAGATTAGATGTGTTTCTGAATACTGGCCATTTGCTAGTATTTGTATTTAATCAAATGACAAAATAATACACAAATGTCACAAATATGATGGTATCCATTGAATTCCACTAAAACTGGGAAACTCCAGACTGCACCTTGCTTCTGAGCATAATGCATGAGAGATATTAAAACCAAGGAAAGCCCAAGGTGCAGTCAATTGTGCAACAGCATCCTCCATAATCCTGTCACAATTCCAAACCACATCCCGTTGCTGCTACACTCCCCTCACTCCTTCCCATCTTCTCAGGGAAATGGACAGCTACCAGGCACAGAATTGCCTCAGATTGACCTGCTCGTTCCTTTCTGATTGTTTCCAGAGAGTAAATAAGTGACTAGCTTCTCCTAATCAGAGGTTCACAGAAGTGGTATCCCACAACGTTCAGTACCATCCCACTTTTTATTCCTCAACTTCTAGGTGAAACCATTGTGGGAAAAAATAGGGGCTACAAAGTCAGCAGCATACTGACAACACCTAGCGCCCTATCCTTCTCCAACTACCTAGACAAGCCACAAGGCAGGATGAAAAAAGATAGCTGAAACGCAATCTGGACAAGCCTGATCTTATGCAGAGAGTTTGAGGAAAGCACTTAGAGAACCTATCAAAAGGTATCTGTTCCAATAATTGGGGGCATCTTCCCTAATCAACATGGTCTGCAGTCTAGCGATCCTACTTGACTCCTCAATATTGCTAGACTTGCAGATTACATTGATCCCCATCCTGTCAGATATGGGTTGTGTTACTTCTGCACCTCTCAGGACTGAAATTGTAAGCAAACGCTACCCCAAAAATCCTATCTAGTCCAGAATTCATCCAACCATCTTCTGAATCTGGTGAACTCATAAAAGCATATCAAACCTGTCTTCTACATTCTGGGCTGTCTATCAAATTACTGCAAGGTGAAATTAAGTTATTGGTTACTATGGATTATGCTCAATTCATTCTATGAACCACCTTGTCATTGCCAAAAAAGCACCTATCCGATTTTCATGCACAAATCTGGAACTCCATGTTCTGGAAGCGAAGACTTGTAGGTATTGGAGAAAGAACATTCTTAACTGCAGGCCCACACTTCTGGAATTTGCTCTCTCCCAAAATAAATGCAAATATGACCCTGGCTGCTCTCAGAAAGAGTTTGAAGATACACTTCTATGCCTAGGTCTTACCAACTGATAAAATTATGAAATGCTGGGTTCCTAGTCAAGTGATCAGTTTAAAAGTTGCAGGGCAGCATCGTGTTTTGTCTCATTATTGAGATCTTTGCAAAGGCACCCAGATACCAAGGTGAAGGGCATCCTATAATAAGTATTTCAAGTTTAAGTCTTTCAAAATCTTTTGCCCTCAAGGATTTCATATTGAAAGGGAAATTCTAGATACTTAGCTATACATACAAGCTGTCCATTTTTCAGTAATGCCATAGCATGTGCACACCCACACACATACACTTATACAGAGTTTTAAAGGAAATATTTGTCTAGTCCTGATAGCTTATGGAGCATCAAGAAGCATCCTTTGTGATAGAAAAAAATAAAAAGTTTCCAGACTTTCTAGAGATCATAGGTCATGATCTAATAAACCGTACCAAATTTTCAACATCAGCCCCTAAGTTTGTGCCTTAAATTTTGCATGCACAGCTTTTCTAGGGGGTTTTGTTTTGGGTTTTTTTGGTTGTCATCATTTTTGTTTTGCATGCTAAATTGGGTAGATATATCTACTCACTCAATCTATGCAAAAAATTGCCATTTGGATTTATAAATACATGTTTTGTGCGTAAAATAGTAAACAAAGATACTTTATACATTTATGATATTCCTGTTTATCTCTCAAGCATATTTAATAGACAAAGAAAAATGCTTTACAGTTACCTTCCGCTCCAGGTTTGACTCGTTGCCTGGGTCCCTTTGTTGAAGACTGCCTCGGTATTCTTGCAGGACTTTCACTCTTAAAAACAAAAAAACAAAACCAAAAAAAGCCCCACATTAATGTAAGTTAGATTTCATTCACATAGACAGATCCACATACATATATTAATAAAATAAGGTCTAGCAAGCAGGAAACTTTCGTAGATTAATGCAGTTTCTTACCTTTTTTGTTTTAAAGCAAATGAAGTTTTTAGCCTTCACAGTTTCAAGAGAGAACCTCTGTGAGCTAAGCGTACCCAATGCAGAAATGTCTCCCCAGTCTGCAGAAAGACTGTTCCAGTGTCACTGCTGGTCTTGAAGTGATAGGGGCGCTGATTGTCACCGCCGTTAAGGCAACCTGGGGGAAGTGAGCCACTGTAGGAGTGGGTGCCCTAGGGGTCTGCCACTCCCACTGCTGCAGCAGATACATTAGATGGGGCTCAACTGCCCCAAAGAAGGTCTCTGTACCTGGGGTATAAGGTAGTTTCCTTCTACTCTAGCAGAAGATTCAGGCAGGGGAGGGGAGATCATACCATACAAAAACTTCACTCCAAAGCCAAATGTGGGGTAGAGTGGAAAAAAACAGGTCTTCAGACAAGTACTATTTTGTCATATCCCCCTGCTCAAAAAAAGGTGTCTTTGAATTTGCTGAGAAGACTTCTGCTCACTTGCAGGTTGAATGATGAACCCAATGATGGAGATTAGCTCATCATTTAACCATTGCTCCCTTGTTCTTATAGCATGGCACAGAGGGAACAGAACACCCAGTAGCTTTCACTGAACCATTCATTATTAATGTCATCCACCATACCTCTAATCAGTTTCACTGCCCTTTTACAGAACTTTCCTATTTTGTCTACATCATTTTTAAGATGTAGTGACCAAAATTGAACAGTATGAGGTGAAAGCATACTAGTTCTTTATAGAAAGCAGTTTTATTTTTCCCATATTCCAAGGGTTCTCAAACTGGGGGTCGGGACCCCTCAGTGGGTCATGAGGTTAATACATGGGGGGTCGCGAGCTGTCAGCCTCCACCCCAAACACTGCTTTGCCTCCAGCATTTATAATGGTGTTAAATATATTAAAAAGTGTTTTTTAATTTATGGGGGGGAGGTTTGCACTCAGAGGCTTGCTATGTGAAAGGGGTCACCAGTACAAAAGTTTGAGAACCACTGCTATATTCACTATCCCTTTATATATCTCAGCATCTTGGTCCAAATCCTGAAATATGTTTGGCACCTCTCAGGATTTCCCCCTCATCTGACTTTTGAATGCTTCTATGAATTAACAACCCATGTGTTTTACATCCAAGAATAACTGCCAACCCTACTGATAATGCATATTCTCATAATATGAATCAGACTCATATCTTGATCATTTCTATATGGTTATTAAAAAAATGCTTCAATACGCCTTCAAATCTGAACATTGCTCTAAGCTAAACAGCACACAATAATATTTCTTACATCTGTGATAACTTAAATACATGGCTATAGAACCCCTACCCATACATTAAGGAAAACACTAACCATAAAAGACATATATGAAGTAAAATGAAATATAGGAGAAAGAAAGGAAAAGTATGCTTATATTCCTATTCACAACAATGCTAGAATCAATTTCTAAGAAAGCATGGAGACAGTGCACCCCTTTGATAATAATTTGAGACACTATTAATATTAAGAAGGCGAAGATTACATGCTAGAGGAGGGTCTGTAAATTTGCATTTAGAGCGTATATTTTCCCCATTATGTGCTAGTAATGTTCATGAGCACAGTGGGAGTTAAGAATGCAGACAGTAGAGAGAACTTACTGATTTTGTCCTAACACAGAAGTGAAAAATAATTATTTTTAAATGGTGGTTGCAATTATGTGATTGCTTCACCTCTTTCCAGGAGCCATTAGTCACTACAGGCATCCTATGGACAAGCAAGCAATCTACGGGCAAGTCAGATTTAACAACTAGTTTGAGCCACTCAAAAATAGTAAGGCGCATACCTCTGCCTTCAGAATTTCAGAAGGCTTGAAATAAAACAAGAACATACAGATATTACAGTCAGAAAAGTCACTATACAAAATGAACAACCGGTGATATTGAATAAAGCAACTGGTTTTGATAAACATTTATTCAATTAGATTTTTGCAGTTATTTTACCTATAGCAAGATAGGAAATGTTTTGGTTTCACTCTAGGAAGTATTGAGTTTTACTGCAAAATAAAACTACTACAAACAAAAGTGAAGGTAATAATGAAGTGGTTTATTTTAATTACTACCATCTTTTTACATTCATAACATTATGCAAGAGGCAAAATAAAACCTAGCATTCCAGCAAAATCTGGGTTGAAAGCCTTTGGGGCACATCTGGTCTGGTCAAGCATTCTTCTGACTTTTGGTGATGCAATTATTAGCACAAGTGGGGAAGAAGCTGAGAATAGGTGGAGAGGCTTCTAACAGAGCTGGTTTAGTGATTTATTTGCGTCAGGTAGGGACTGAAAGCATGGTTTTACATTTTTGTACAACACATGCACCATGGCAACAGATGCAAAATAATAGCTAATTTTTATCTCTGTGGTAATGTACAAAAACAGAAAGGCCACATGTTTACAATCTGACTTTTTCCAAAGGGAGATTAAAAAAAAAAAGGTATGTTAATTCTGTTCTCTTACAAATTCAGAGGCTCTGAGACCTTAGCAGTCAATAATGGAGTCATTACAACAGTTTTTACTTTATAGTCAATTTGAAACTAGTCTGGAAAAATTAATTTAAGACTTAACCCAAGTAGTAAGTACAAATACTTGCAAATTTTGTGAGGTCTTACTTGTATTTGTTTGGGAAGGTTAAAAAAGTCTGTGCAACATCTAAATCTAGTTCTCAGGCCTTCCGTATCAGCAGCTACACCCCTTCGATAGCTGTATTTATGTGGTAAGAGGCACAAAAGTAATGCTGATCGTTGGAAATCTAGCAGATCAAGAGGAGAATATGCTCCAGAGAGATTGCCACTTTTGCTTTTAAATCCCTCTTCTGATCCATGTGGGCAATGCTGTTCAACCACTACATTAACGAGACACTTAATGCAGAGACATTATGAAAATCCTTTGTCAATGTCCAAAGCCCTTCCGCTGAGCTCCACTGCCCTCAAGTCACCATGACGTACAAAAGACTCATGCCAAAAGTAATGGCATGGCAGAGGTTAGAACACTGCTGGACACAAGATGTGTTCACGATCCAATCATTGGCTCAGTGATTTTATACTCCTAGGTGGTCTGAAGGCTAAGTAGTTAACTGGGAACTCAAGGACAAAAGTAACATACTGAGAATATACCTTTATAACCTGGGAGAAAGAGAAGTTAGTGTTTGCACCATAGTATTCAGGGTCTCATGGGGATATAAATTGGACCAATGTCTACTTACTGGACTTCTCATATTTCTCACTGGCCATTGTGGTAAAATGTATCTCCCACTCAACAGAAAGGGTATACAACTCATACATGTACTGTAAGGTATTAGCAGTTTGTTATACCCTTCTCCCTCTATCAATCATCAAGTCCAACAGACTGGGCACTACATTAAAAAAAAAAACAACCCTTCAGCATTCCTGTTCTCAGGCGTAATTCTAATTCACCCATTACCCCAGAATCTTCCAAAGGGTACTGTTACTCTAATTAGAACAACATTGCTATTCTTGTTTTTTAAATATAGACCCAGGCTTTGCTCATGTCTGCATATCAATATAAAGCATTTAGCACATTCTCTGAATGAATGTACTGTTGTGTTAAGTGAACAGTAAACACTTGAAATACAGCTCATTTCCAATGCACTGAGAGCTACTATCTCCCTTGGAGAGTTCCCTGAATCTCTCTCCAACCTTTTATATTCCCATTATTTGCTTCTAAAACAGTTGTCATTATTCTGAATCAAAGTTTTGTTTAACAACAGCCACAATTTACTGACCATTTGAGATGCATAACAGCAACAGACAAAGATCGATATTTGTCAAGGTCCTTACAACTTGTGTGATTTTGATGGTTTGACTTACTACCTGAGGTCTGTAGCCTGTAAAGAGATGTCCCACCAACTTTGGCTAATGCTAGCTACCCTTGCAGCCACAAAGGAATGTCCTAGGACAGAGAATTTTGGCTGGTAAATTGTATATTTTAACGTACAACTTCCATTATATGAATGGAGCATGAATAAGTGACACCATCAAAAGAGAGTCATTTGGAACTTTAATATTTATGGAAAACTCCCAAACAAAGCTCTGTGGAACTACTGCCTTTGTCTCTTTCAGAGCAGCTATGCTTTCTTTGATTCAGTAAAACTGTTTTAATATGTATTCCAGACCATCTCCAAGTAGAAATTCTCCTCTGAAAGAACATCATTAGATGTGACTTAAAGGATGATCCAAATGATCAGTTCCAGAGCAACATAGCTTGTGCAGCAATAAACAACAGACGCTATAGATGTGGCCAAAAATGAGAGGATATTTGAAAATGCTACTGCCAAAAGTTTCAACAGTCATCTGTAAAACAGGACAGACCTTTTCAATGTGTTTTGCCTTACAGTTAACTGACATACCTATCCATCTTCTGTAGCCACTTTCCCCATAAACAGCACCATATGCTTCAGAAGGTCTGCCTAAGGCCTGAGTCCCCCACTTTTGTCACAAGTCTCCAAGTTGTCTTTATGATCTAAAAAGTCAGTCATGCTATGGAAATGCCCACTTGAGAACAAAACTACTCACTTAATCTGGACCACGAACATACAAAACACAATTTTACTTTCTTTGATCACAAGCAAGGTGATAAGCAATAACCAGCAGGCATCCATCTTCCAACAGACACTGAAGATTGCCTGCCAGATATTATCCAAATGCTTCCTGTTTGTTTCTGCTCATACTATATTTACTTTCATTTCAGAAAATGTATTATGGATTCCAGGACATCACCACTTGCTGGCGACAGAACAGATTTTCACTAATAAAGAATACGCAAGAATTTGAAGGAATTTGCCCAGTACTCAGACATCTGGGGATAAATAGCAAGAGGAATATTAAAATTCTGAAAAGAGAGAAGCACACACAAAATCTAGTCTAGAACTCTAATCTGAAACAAGCATGGTTAACAAATTGAGGCCTAAGTGACAGCTTTACTATACATAAAATGTGTTAAGATAGACTTCTAAAATGAACAAAGCTTTCTTAAATGTAGTATTCAAACCATTCAGTTTGAAAACTGCAGGCATCAGAACTGAGAGCAGGGAGCCTGTCTCTCCTGCACTTTCAATATCCCCTCTGCTGCTGCCTAATCAGAAAGGAACAGGAAGGTGCCTGACTTGAATGCAAAAGGGACAGGAGCCAGACCACATAAAGGGAAAGGAGTAGGTTGGTACAAGGCAGCTGGTAAAACTCGGACTAACGGTGGGAGGGGAGAGAGATAATGACTGGGAGCCAGGAGTGGAAACAGATCTGGAGCGTAGGGAGAGAAAACGGGGACTGGCTGGGCAAAGAGATTGGGACGATGAGCCAGGGGTGTGGTGGCATAGACTGGGGCGCAGTGCAGCATCGGAATAGTTTAAAGGTCAGAAGGGACCATTATGATCATCTAGTCTGACCTCCTGCACAACGCAGGCCACAGAATCTCACCCACCCACTCCTGCGAAAACCTCTCACCTATGTCTGAGCTACTGAAGTTCTCAAATTGTGGTTTAAAGACTTCAAGGAGCAGAGAATCCTCCAGCAAGTGACCCGTGCCCCATGCTATAGAGGAAGGCGAAAAACCTCCAGGGCCTCTTCCAATCTGCCCTGGAGGAAAATTCAATCTGCCCTGAAGGACTGTTGTTGTTACAAAAACAGTCACTAATGTCATACACATTGTGAGTCACTGATGTATGATCATTCAGGATGAAACTGTCCATAGAAAGAGTTATAGAGATATCATGCAGTGACCACAACCAGACAGTCTCTTCATGGACAGTTAAACTTCTTTGCAGTTCCTTTGTAGGCCCTAGCCTGCCTTAGCTGGGTAGCACCGCCGATGGGACTTCTAACGACCCGGTCAGCGCTGCTGACCAGAGCAAGGTGACCCAGTGCCTTACATGCCGTGACCCAGTACCGGGTGGCGACCCATGGTTTGAAAAACACTGCCTTAATATACTTGCTTTAGCACCCTGCAACTTTATATTAACCTAAACCAAATTTTTTTTTAAAAAATCACAGCAATCCTCACAGCAATCACAGCAAGACTCCCATAGGTGCTGGCACTAGGGCCCCCTGGCTTAAAGTGGTTTCCATTATATACAGAGTTTACACTTTCGTTCAATGGCTCTCAGCCCCCACACTATGAAAATTGTTCCAGTTCCACTGCAGACTCCCAGAGCTCAATATGAGTTAATATATTCTACAATGTGACACTTTAAATAGCCAGCTTGATAGAGCTTTTGTATCGCTTTGCAATACTTACCTCTTTATCTGGCTCAGTCTTGGTGTCTTTAGAAGATCTCTCTGTTTTCTTAGTTAAAGTATCCTCAGCTCCTGTGGACTGAAGAGAGACAGCTGCTATATATACACAACCACTGAGATACTTAATATAAACGAATGACCTACATTAAGCCACCTAAAGGAAAAAACTTGATGATAAAATCAATGTACAGTAATGCTGAGTGTAATAATGAGGCAAGTTTCTTCTTATCTGTCTTCTTTTAACGGATATCCCCAAGCAATTACTGGTGTAAGGGTCACCCTTAGGACAAAGGGAGTTCTCTGATAGAGGTTTTGGTGTAGTGCAGTGCCTGTATAAAAACCCAGATGGCACCACACCTCCAAGTATGCATCCACTGATAAACAACTAAAACTTTTAAAATGTCACCTTTTCTGAGTAATCCCAGAGGGAAAAGAATCCTCCAGATTGGGGGGACATGTACCTGTAAATTATCTTCTCACACAAAAATTAACCTGTCCCCACACTCCAGATGTCCCCTAATCTGGAGTCACTATTGGCAAATGGCAAGCAGCAGAAGAGAAACAGAAGCTAGGAAAGATTTAGAGAAAGTTAGCAGGACCCTGCATCCAGAAAGCCACAGCTTGAGTGATGAAGTGAAAGACAATGAGGAGATGGATCTTCAGACAGTTACGAGTTCTAGACAAGAGAAGACTACATACAGGGATTAATGACTGGGAATATGTCCCTTGTCTGAGAGAGAACTAACAAGTGTGTGATGCATTACAGATTCAGATATTCCAAGGCCAAATAGGACCACTGTGATCACCTGAGCTCTTATAGAAGACAGGCTAGAGGAGTTCCCCAAATTAATTCCTAGAGCAGATTTTTTTAGGAAAAAAACTAATCTTGATTTAAAATTTGCCATTGAGGAAGAATCCACCACGACCCTTGGTAAATTGTTCCAGTGGTTAGTTACCCTCACTGTTAAATATGTGCACCTTATTTCCAATCTGAATTTGTCTAGCTTCAACTTCCATTCACTGGATCATATTATACCTTTTTCTGCTAGATTGAAGAGCCCATTATTAAATATTTGTTCCCATGTAGGTACTTATAGACTAATCAAGTCACCTCTTAACCTTCTCTTTGTTAAGTGCTAAATAGATTGAACTCCATGAGTTTATCACTATGAGGCACATTTTCTAATCTTTTAATTAGGGCTGTCAAGTGATTAAAAAAATTAATTGCGATTAATCACACCGTTAAACAATAACGGAATACCATTTATTTAAACATTTGTGGATGTTTTCTACGTTTTCAAATATATTGATTTCAATTACAACACAGAATACAAAGTGTACAGCAATTTATACAGTTCACTTTATTTTTATTACAAGTATTTGCACTGTAAAAAACAAAAGAAATAGTATTTCTTTAATTCACCTATGCAAGTACTGTAGTGCAATCTCTTTATCATGAAAGTTGAACTTACAAATGTAGAATTATGTACCAAAAACTGCATTCAAAAATAAAACAGTGTAAAATTTTAGAGCCTGCAAGTCCACTCAGTCCTACTTCTTGTTCAGTCAATCGCTCAGACAAACACGTTTGTTTACATTTGCAGGAGAAAATGCTGCACCCTTCTTGTTTGCCAGTTCTCACTTTCAGGTGACATTGTATTCTCATGGCACTGTTGTAGCTGGTGTTGCAAAATATTTGTGTGTCAGATGCGCTAAAGATTCATATGTCCCTTCCTTCTTCAACCACCATTCCAGGGGACATGCACCCATGCTGATGACGGGTTCTGCTCAATAACAATCCAAAGCAGCTTTCTTTTTTGGAGGTTTGGGTTCTGTAGTTTCTGCATCAGAGTATTGCTCTTTTAAGACTTCTGAGAGCATGCTCCACACCTCATGCCTCTCAGATTTTGGAAGGCACTTCAGATTCCTAAACCTTGGGTCAAGTGCTCTAACTATCTTTAGAAATCTCACATTGGTAGCTTCTTTGCATTTTGTGAAATCATTTTTAGAACACTTTCACTGCAGAACAACACATGCTGAGTCATCATCTGAGACTGCTATAACATGAAATATATGGCAGAATGCGAGTAAAACAGAGCAGGGGACATTGAACTCCTTGGGGGAGAATTGTATCACAAATTTAATTAACACATTTTTTTAACGAGTATCACCAGCATGGAAGCATGTCCTCTGGAATGGTGGCTGAAGCATGAAGAGGCATACGAATGTTTAGCATATCAGGCACGTAAATACCTTGCAACGCCAGCTACAAAAGTGCCATGCAAATGCCTGTTTTCACTTTCTGGTGACATTGTAAATAAGAAGAGGGCAGCATTACCTCCTGTAAATGTGAACAAACTTGTTTGTCTTAGCGATTGGCTGAACAAGAAGTAGGACTAAGTGGACATGGAGGGTCTAAAGTTTTACATTGTTTTGTTTTTGAGCGCAGGCATGTAACAAACAAAATCTACATTTGTAAGATACACTTTCACAACAGAGAATGCACTACAGTACTTGTATGAGGTGAACTGAAAAAATGCTATTTATTTTGTTTTATCATTTTTACAGTGCATTTGTAATAAAAACTAACATAAAGTGAGTACTGTACACTTTGTATTCAGTGTTGTAATAGAAATCAATATACTTGAAAATGTAGAAAAACATCCAAAAATATTTAATAGATTTCAATTGGTAATCTATTGTTTAACAGTGCGATTAATCGCAATTTTTTTGAGTTAATCGTGTGAGTTAACTGTGATTAATAGACAGCCATAGTTTTAAGAATATAAACCTGTATTTAATTTAAATTTAGTTTTTTTTTTTAAATCATTGATTTTTATTGATCCTGAAAACAAGCTTTTCATCATAATGCCCAGTTTGGACTGAGTAGACTTGTAGGCTCTGAAGTTTTACATTGTTTTGTTTATGAGTGCAGTTATGTAACAAAAAAATTTCTACATTTGTAAGTTGCACTTTCACAACAAAGACTGCACACTACATTACTTGTATGAGGTGAATTGAAAAATACTATTTCTTATTTATAATTTTTACAGTGCAAATATTTAGAATCAAAAATAATATACACTGATTTCAATTACAACACAGAATACAATATATATGAAAATACATCCAAACATAGAAAAACATCCAAAATATTTAATAAATTTCAATTGGTATTCTATTGCTTAACAGTGTGATTAAAACTGCGATTAATAGCAATTAATTTTTTTAATCACTATTAATTTGAGTTAAATTGCGTGAGTTAGCTGCGATTAATCGACAGCCCTACTTTTAATCGTTTTTGTGGCCCTTCTCTGAACCTTCTTACATTTATCAACACCCTTCTTGAACTGTGGACATCAGAACTGGACACAGTATTCCAGTAGCAGCTGCACCACTGCCAATATAGCAGTAAAATAACCTTTCTACCTCTAATCGAGATTCCTCTGTTTATGCATCCAAGGATTGCACTAGCTCTTTTGTCCACAGCATCAGACTGGAAGCTCATCATCAACCACCATCCAGAAATCTTTTTCAGAGTCACTGCTTCCCAGAATAGAGTCCCTCATCTTGTTAGCATGGCCTGCATTCTTTGTTCCTAGATGTATACATTCACATTTAGCCATATTAAAATGCCATACTGTTTGTTTGCACCCAGGTTACCAAGCGATCCAGATCAATCTGTATCAGTGACCTGTCCTCACGATTATTTACCACTCCTCAATTTTTGTGTCATCTGCAAACCTTATCAATGATGATTTAATACAGATATAAAATATCATAGCACTGAGAACCAATTCCCCTGGGACACCATTAAAAACGCATATATTGGATGATGATTCCCCATTTTGAGACCTATCAGTCAGCTTTTAAGCAATATAATGTGTACCATATTGACTTCATGTCGTTCTAGGTTTTAAACCAAAATGTCATACGTTACAAGTCAGATGACTTACAGAAGTCTATTACATCAACACTATTACTTTTCATCAACCAAACTTGTAATCTGATCAAAAAGATCTATCAAGTTAGCTTGACAGGATCTGTTTTCCATAAACCCATGTTGATTGGAATCTAGTAATGGATTGATACTATTGTTAGGATTCTTTTTGTTCCTAATATACTTTAAAAAACTCCTTATTGTCCTTAACTCTCCTGACCATAGATTTCTCCTCGTATCCCGTGGCACCCCATATAAATTTTCCACAATTCCTGTATTTATATTCATTGGTATATAGGCAATTAAATAATTTATTCTTTTCATGTCCTTTGGTTCCTTACGTCCTGATGGACATAATATCCCCGCAGGAAGGGGATGGCTTGATGCTGGTGGACTTCCTTTCAGCCCTCCCAGCAAGAACAAAGCTGGAACCAAGCGAACAAGTCTAAAGACAGCCAGTCACAAGAAAGGCAGGCCAAAGAGGCCAAACTTCTACACTAACAGCCCTACTGCCATTCAGAAAAGCAATGCCAATTTGATTATCAGGAAGTACAATACAGAACCTAATGGCTCAAATTAAGGTATCACGGAGGGAGGTGGGATTTCCACAAGGCTTTCTAGCACCTAGTAGTATTCAGTTGATCTTACCACTAGGTGATTTAAGTGCTAACAGGCCCATATGTCAGTGTTTCTCAAACAAGGGGTCTCTACCCATAAGTGGGTCATGGGAAGGCTGTAGATGGGTCACAGGGTGTGGGCAAATGTACACTTCTCCCCTCTCCAAGCACTGCAACCTGACACGTGGTGTAACCACTGGATGATGGAGCCAGCCCCATGAGATAGGAGCCACCTCTGCAGGCTGAGTGCAGGGTAGGCTCATTATCTATCCCCCACCTCCTCCAGGGCATCCCTCCATACCTGGCTGGGATCAGGGTTGCAGTGCTGGGATGGGAGGTGCATATATGCAATGGTGGGTGGCAAAAGACAAAATTCAGCTGATGGGTCACATCAGTAAAAAGTTTGAGAATTACTGCTATGTGTTATTCCTCCTGGAGAAACTTAAAAACTTCAGAGGGAACATTTCCAATAATGGCACTCAAAGAGGGTGTTGGTATGTAACTGGAGATTTAAAATTATTACACCATTACTCCACCCTCTTCACAAATTTTGTTTTTTCACAGAAGACATCAGGATATCTACCACTTGCAATTACATAGACTGATTTATTGGTGAGAAGAGTTCCTCAGCTCAAGAGAGTCAGGCCTGTAAAGACAGTCACCTGCATTGCAGCAACCTGGAGTACATTCTTGTCCCTGATACAGTAGTAGGAGCTGAAAGATTTCTTGACTGAAGACTAGAAGTAGACAATCCAGAATGGGCAATAGCTTCCCAGAGAAAAATTAGGTTATAAATCAGAGGCAGCAGCTATTGGTTTGTGTTTTGCGGTTTAATAATGAGAGCCCTTCCCCCTCAGCAATCATTTTACATAAAAGGGAAAGTAGTCCTCACCTTCTGCATATCTGAACTGTTGCAGGACTGTTTCTTTACTGAGACTCTGCTGCTACTGTCTACAAGGACTCCACTATACCACAAGAATATTTTCAACAGCTGCCATTTGTAGGGAGGATGCTGGTTATGTGGTCACTTGCAGGACTCAGATGCTCAAGATCCTCTTAGCTAGAGCACACAATGCTTCAAATGAGATGCAAGGGGTTCCACTACCTTCAAGGTTTTGATATGCTCCAAGATTCTCTTTGCTGGATGCCATTTACAAAAGCTGTGAAAAGGCTAGTACAAAGGACACAGCATCAACAAACAGGATCATGGAGGACACTACAGCCCCTGGAGCTGCCTCTGCAAAGCAGTATTCAGCTGAAGGTATAGCGTGTATATGTGTTCATACAATCGCAGACCATGTTAAGTGCTACAAAAAAAGAAGGGAAAGGGATTTTGATGGTAGGAAAGAGTCTCCATTACTTTTAATGAAGCAAGTAGGTTTTTGCTTAGTGAAAACAAAGGCACTTAAGAATCATTAAATTAACCACAGACAACCAAAAATGCCAGATGAAGATATGTGCAAACATGATATTAAGACACAGACTCAACAACATTAATACCACAGGGCTCAGAGCACATTAGTAAGGGACCTTTTTTCCCACAAAGTGTTTGTTTTACCTTTTTTTCTGCTTTAACCGTTCCTTGTTCTTTCGAGCGTTCCCCGACTTTGCCTCGATCCCTTCGTCTGTCCCTCTCTCTGTCTTTTCCCCTATCTCTGTCTTTCTCACGGTCTATGTCCCTGCCCTTCTCTTTGTCCCTTTCTTTCAATTTTTCCTTTTCTTTTCCTCCTTCATTTTTTCTTTCCTTCTCCCGTCCTTTATCACGTTCCAGATCTTTTTCTCGTTCCAGATCTCCTGTGTCTTTTTCTCTGCTTTTTTCTGTTTCTCTTCCTCGTTTGGATGTTCTGTTCTTGCTTTTCTCTCTTTCATGTTTTTCACCTTCTCTAAAATTGCCCCCTTCAAGGTCTTTGTGCCTGTCCTCATTATCTTTATGCTTGTCTCTTTCCTTTTCTCTTTGCTTCTTCTCTTCTTCTTTCACCTCTTCTCTAGGTTTTCTGTCTCGGCTTGTACTTCTATCTTTTATTTCATTGTCTCCTCTGCCCTAAAAATAGAGTAGAAGGTAATATTAAACTACAGCACAAGCCAGTTCCATGACACAGTATTTTTCACCCCAAAATATTTCTAGTTGTAGCCCATTTCCCCCCAGAAACACAGCAAAGCCCACCTCTTTATCCTTATGGCTTTTTTGTTCTTCTGCCCTGGATTCTCTATTTTCTTTATCTTGAGATTTAGAAGTAGATGGAGGCTTTCCTTTGATATCCGCTTTCTCCCCAGCAAGCACCCTCTTCACAGCATCATCACTGGACAACTGCAGAGAAGATTAAATCCAATGAAAATTAGCTTGTGTTACTTTATTAAATGCAATCTGCATTTCTAATTCTGTAGTTCCCAGGATGATTTTTATGAAATCACGTATGTTTTATGCTACTCCTCTCATTCAAAGACAATTCACCGATTTAAGTCAACTGCTTTCTTGTGCCTCTTTTTTAATTTGACTCTATCCACCAAAGCTATCCATATATGTTGTGATTTTTTTCTATTACTATTACATGTTTCCAATGCTAATGATTCTCAGTACTTCGTCTTTTACATTTTCTCTGTAATAGCAACATGGATTATTTTGAAAGTGTCTACCATATTACGACTGCTACACTAAATATTCCAAACCCTACAATGCCGCATTTAGATATACTCTGATGTGGCTCCATTTTAACCAACAAACTGTTTCATTTTAAAGATGCATTTTTTACAAAATGCTAGGAACCCGATGCTGAGGAGCACTTCCAACAGAATTTAGCGACCATGTTAAAAGAAGCCCTCAAGTGTCCAGTTCAATTTGATCCAGCTTTGAAAAACTACTAAGCAAATAATTTTTACCAGTCCAATTGGGTGGCAGCTAAAGTCAGATCTCAGTTTCTGCACAACAGTGACCATGAATTCTATTATACCAAGATCTGAGTATATATACTGAGGTTACCATACCCTTAGGAATTTTGCTACTCAAGCTTCCTCTTCCTGAAAGAGAACTGGATAGTTAAAAGCACTGGAACTGATTTTGCCCCTCATGATAACTCAGTAGAGAGAAGTCAGGCACCTGAGCTACTCTGATCCTCTCTTGGTATACAATTGGAGAAGGATGACTTTTTGTGGGTTTTCACATTCAGTCACTAGCATCTGAACATCATTAGTGACATTTGCCTCATTTACGGAAACAGTAAAGAGCATCAGATTGGCATGAAAAGTCTTAAACAGTCCTGAGACCAGAGGATCCTTTGCACACAACAGACCAAGTCTGATATTTTCACAATCATAAAAATAAATAGGATAATTATCTCAACCCCATACCCAGGCAACTGAGACTACTTTCAGGATACTGGATCTTGTCAAAAATTCCCAAGGAAATTCGGGGTCAAGAACATTATCTAAGCAATCCAAAGCCTGTTTCCTAGATTCTCCCTCCCTAATTTCAAACAAGAAAGAATCTAACACAATTGATTTACTGAAAAGCTATGGGAACGGCGCGCATGCAATATGAACTTCAAAAACTACTGGATTACCAAAAAATCAATTTGAATGATCCTCATGTACAATCCAGTATTTTATAATAATGTCCTTAAAAACTTCACTATCATTACCCCAAGTGTTTTGGACCATTAATATAGTATTTTCTTTTATGAAAGGGAAGGACTCTGCAGGAGACTAGAGCCTGTCCATCTGTTCTTGTTCAGATCAATGATCAGACTGAGGCTATAATCAAGGAGGGCATCAGTGGATAAAGAGCTTGAGAAGATTAGTCTTATTTGAAAAGCTCCACAGTGACTATAAGCAAAAAACAAGAATACAACAAGCTATATTAAAGGCAACAGCTGTTTTAAAACCCATGAGTTTCCAAGGGTACTAAGACAAGAGATCTAATGTCTCCATTGCTGCTTTTTTGTACACTCGGAGGAAAGAGTGGCTTCTCTACAGTAAGCACCTCCATTTGTGATTTGAAAAGGTTGAAAGATTTTGAAAAGTAAGTGCCTAAAGATATGCTCATCAACTCATTCAGGAATATTCAAGTGCACTGAAAATCTGGAAATTCCTACTGAGACAATGCTTGTGGATTCTGTTGTAATTAAACCGAAGAGTATTCCATGTTCACCTAATATGGTGATGATACAGCCAAAGTTCATGGGCCAGATCCTCAATTTATGTAAAAAGCTCCACTGATTTCCATGGAGTTACACTGCTTTACATCAGTTAAGGATCAGGCCATCTGTACTTTTAGTTATGTTATGCTGCAGTTAACACAACAATACAATTCATATATTGAGTAAATACAAATAGTGGATGAGTTTCCATATAGTTTGTCATATCCATGAATCAGTTTAAACTAAACGGAAGGATGAAACAACTGGGATCCTTGATTTCAAAAGGGCAAATTAAAAAAAAAAATTAAGGAACTTAGTTACAGAAGAGGACTACACTGACTAACCCAAGGATCTGAATAGAAAAGAGGCTTGGAATCACTTTAACTCAAAGTTGCAGGAATTATCTGGAGCCCACCTCCTGAGCAAAGGGGGAGGGAGAGGGGGGAATCATAGGAAGGATTGCAGACCAAACTAGATGGAAAAACACCTCAAACCGGTTATTAAGAGAAAGCAGATAGCCTGCCTATGCGGAATAGAAGGGATGGATCCGCAAGGAAAGATACCTCTTGGAAGTCAGAAAGCGTAGGGGAACAAGTAAGAATTGCCAGAAGCCAAGCAGAGCTGGAATTTGCAAGGGAAATTAAAATCAATAGTAAACGGTTCTTTAGCTATGTAAAGAAAAAGAAAACAAGGAAAGAAGAAGTTTGTGACTGCTTAACACTGAGGATGGGGTGGAGATTACAGCCAATCTAGGAATGGCCTAACACATAAATGAATATGTTGCCTCAGTTTTTGATAAGACCAATGAGGAGCCTGGGGATAGTGGCAGGATCAGTAACGGAAATGAAGATGTGCAAGTAGAAATCACAGTATCAGAGATAGAAGTTAAATTCAAACAGCTTGACGGGATCAAATCCAGGGGGCCTGGATAATTTCCATCCAAGATTTTTAAAGGACCTGGCACATGAAATTGCAAGACCAATAGCAAGGATTTTTAATGAATCCGTAAACTCAGGGGTCGTACGCTATGACTGAAGAATTGCTCATATAGTACCGATATTTAAGAAAGGAGAAAAGGCAATCCAGGAAACTACAAACTATCAGTTTGACCTAAATTGTAGGCAAGATCTTAGAACAAATTTTGAAAGAGAAAGCAGTTAAGGGCATACAGGTAAGTAGTAATTGGGATAAAATACAACATGGTTTTACAAAGGGTTGAACATGCCAGACCAACCTGATCTCTTTCTTTGGGAAGATAACTGACTCTCTAGACAAAGGAAATGCAGTAGATCTAATCTACCTGAATTTCAGTAAGGTATTGATACAGTTCCACATGAGAAATTAGTTAAATTAGAGAAGATGGGGATTAATACAGGAATCAAACTGGTTAATAGGAGACCATAACCAGTCATCCTGAAAGATGAACTATCAGACTGGAGGGAAGTTACTAGTAGAGTTCCTCAGGGATCAGTCTTGGGACCAATCTTATTTAACATGTTTATTAATGACCTTGGCACAACAAGTAGGAGTGTGCTAATAAAATTTGCAGATGACACAAAGTTGGGAGGTATTGCCAATAAAAAGGAGGACTGGAATATCAGACAAGAAGTTCTGGAGGACCTTGAAAACTGGAGTAATAGAAATGGGATGAAATTTAATTGTGCAAAGTGAAAGGTCATGCACTTAGGGACTAATAACCAGAATTTTTGCTATAAGCTGGGATTTATCAGTTGGAAACAACAGAAGAGGAGAAAGACGGAGGTATATTAGTCAATCACAGGATAACTATGAGCCGCCAATGTGATGCAGCTGTGAAAAAGGCTAATGCAATCCTAGGATGCACTTGGCGGGGTATTTCCAGTAGAGATAGAGAAGTGTCATTGGCATTACAAGGCATTGGTGAGACCTCTTTTGGAATACAGTGTGCAATTCTGGTCTCCCATGTTTAAGAATGATGAATTCAAACTGGACCAGGTGCAGAGAAGGGCTACTAGGATGATCCAAGGAATGGAAAACCTACCTTATGAGAGGAGATTTAAGGACCTTGAACTGGTTTACCCTAACCAAATGAAGGCTGAGGGGAGATATGATTGCTCTCTATAAATACATCAGAGAGTTAAGTACCAGGGAGGGAGAGGAGTTATTTAAGTTAAGGGACAATGCTGAGATAAGAACAAATGGATATAAACTGGCCACCAAGTTTAGGCTTGAAATTATACGAAGGTTTCTAATCATCACAGGAGTGAAGTTTTGGAACAGCGTTCCAAGGGAAATAGTGGGGGGCAAAAAAACAATTTGTTTCAAGACCGAGCTTGGTAAGTTTATGGAGGAGATGGTATGATGAGATTGCGTACAATGGCATCTGGCCCGTCCACGACTGCTATTAGCATTTATATCCTACAGCCATAGATGGAACACTAGATAGGAAGGGCTCTGAGTTACTACAGATAATTCTTTCCAGGAGTCTGGTTGGTGGGTCTCGCCAACATGCTCAGTGTCACTAACTGATTGCCATATTTGGGGTTGGAAATAAATTTTTTCCCAGGGCTGATTGGCAGAGACCCGGGTTTTTTTGGCCTTCCTCTGCAGAATAGGTCACTGGCTGGTTTGAACTGGTGGATTCTCTGTATTTTTAAGTCTTTAAACCATGATTTGAGGATGTCAGTAACTCAGCCAGAAGTTAAAGGTCTTTTACAGAAGTGGGTAGGTGAGGTTCCATGGCCTGTGCTGTGCAGGAGGTCAGACTAGATCAGGGTGGGCCAAACTTATTGAACTTCCAACCCACATACAACAATCTTCAGAAGTTCGAGAGCTGGGGAGTGCCTGCTGGGGCTCAGGGCTTCAGCCCCATGGGATGCACCTGCTGGGGCTTCAGCCCTGCAAGGAAGGGGGTCTCAGGGCTTCAGCCCTGCAGGAGGCACCTGCCCAAGCTCAGGGGTTCAGCCCTGCAGAGAGAGGGGTCTTGGAGGTTCAGCCCCATGGAAGGCACTTGTCCCACTCCTGCTGAAGCCCTGAGCCATGGCACGTGTACCCCATGGGGCTGAAGCCCTGGCAGGTGCTTCCCGCGGGGCTGAAGCCCTGAGACCGACCCACTGGGCAGAAGCCAGAGGCAATGTGGGAGGGAGACACATGGGGTCACATCCTCCCCCCACAATTTTTGCCAGGGGTTGCTGGCCCCGCTTGGTCACATGGTGCCGCCGGGCCCCCTCCCTATACGGTAGCTGCTGGAGCCGGCAAGCTGGGAGCTGTGATTTGGGTAGAGGCAGCAGTCAGCAGCTGAGAGCTGCAGGGAGAGCCACTCCAAGGAGGGGAAGAGAGAGGGTGTGCCTAGGGGGTATGACTCAAGCTGTTGTGGGGGGAAAACCTTTACAAGGTGTGCCCCCACTCTCAGCAGGCACCAGTCGTCTCTGGCAGAAGTCCTAGCCCCACCACAGGGCAGAAGCCCTGAGCTCCCCCCCTCACAGTCTGGTAGACGAAGAATGGAGGGTTGTGGAGGGCTCCAGGAGCCTCACTTTAACTGTAAAAGAGCCACATGTGGCTCACGAGTCACCATGATGGTCTCTTCTGGTCTTGAAGTCTATGAATCACATATTGGTTATGTTTAACAAGAGACACCCACAGGACTGAAAAGGTTGGGAACCATTCATGTGAATCACTGACAGTATGATCATACCTTATTGAGACAGCATTTTCCAATTGCTTGGAGAAACTCATTGGTTCTTTCAGGTTCATGCCCAGCTACAATACGTGCTGGCTTCACTGACAATGGCTCCCCTGTTACCATTATGACAACATCAATAGCCTTCTGGAGGAAGCTGATTTTGGCATCTTTATCCTGGGAAAAAAATTAACGTTATACTTTATTAAAAGTCTATTTAACCTCTGATTTGTAGCATATTTAAACAAACTTTCCTATATGAAATTATCCATTATTATTACAAATCATTTGCATTTTAGAAATAAGCATTTTGATAAGGGATAGTTATTGTAATCCAAAATTAAAATATGAAGTTCCAATTGTAAGAGAAATGAAGAGGGCAGTTTAACCTGGACACTCTAGTTACCTTCTCCTGACCTGAGGAAGTTCAAAAGCTTGTGCCTTCCACCAACAGAAGTTGGTTCAATAGACGATACTACTGCACCCCTTTTGCCTTTCTTATCCTGCGACCAACAGCTACAGCAACACTGCAAATCATTGTTCATCTCATGTACATTATAAGATGTGCAGACATTGAGTTCTATTTTCTTGAGCTACATATTAAACAGATTAATTTTAAAAAAACTGTAGAGGTAAGTATCTTTCCAACAATTTTGTTTTGTATCTGTACAGTGCCTGGCACAGTGGAGTTCTGATCAGTGACTGGGCACTACCTATGCACTACCACAATGCAAACATCACCACAACACTTTAAAAAAGGCAGCATCTGAGACTAGTCCTTGACAATATTAGCTTTAGAAGAGTGTAGGTTTGCCATAGTAAATAGAATTCAGTGACACATGAATAAGTGACAGTACCTGATGGCAAGTTATAAAGAATTCCAACATGAAATAAGGAAATTTCATACCCACCTTAACATTATCAGATTTCATCTCAAAATCTGTGTAAAGCCCATTCATAAAACCTGTCACTCTGATTACCTTCAAAGCAAAGGAAATGCAATAAATTACTAAAAAATACTGGAAAGCTTCTGAAAAAAACTTTTTTGAGCTTCCTGCAATCATTTAGAGAGATACTATTTCATGCTGAATTATTTTGGGGGCAGTTTTAAAGATCTTCTCTATTGCAATAATCACTTATGTAATGTGTTTCAATAAGCCATTCAAAATCTTGTCAATTATTACATCTCTGCAGTATGGAAGATTTGTGCATTCACTCTTTTTTTTAATAGGAAATTAAGATTCATGGACCCACAAGGCTCTATGCTTTAACTACAATCTTGATTTATTCTGTTTCTGTTACTGCCTAACTTGTCGGTGGTTGATTTCTTTGTGGACATGCACAGACTATGAGTTCAGAGAATTTCAAATTTTCTAGTGAGTAATCCATTTTTCTTTCAAGAAAGGTAAAAAAGCATAAACTCTGTGAACATCTTTCAATATAGGAGTGCTTACCTCCTTTTATTAAATCTGTCAGAAGAGAATATAGTAGACATTCATTAGAATCATAGAATCATAGAATATCAGGGTTGGAAGGGACCCCTGAAGGTCATCTAGTCCAACCCCCTGCTCGAAGCAGGACCAATTCCCAGTTAAATCATCCCAGCCAGGGCTTTGTCAAGCCTGACCTTAAAAACCTCTAAGGAAGGAGATTCTACCACCTCCCTAGGTAACGCATTCCAGTGTTTCACCACCCTCTTAGTGAAAAAATTTTTCCTAATATCCAATCTAAACCTCCCCCACTGCAACTTGAGACCATTACTCCTCGTTCTGTCATCTGCTACCATTGAGAACAGTCTAGAGCCATCCTCTTTGGAACCCCCTTTCAGGTAGTTGAAAGCAGCTATCAAATCCCCCCTCATTCTTCTCTTCTGCAGGCTAAACAATCCCAGCTCCCTCAACCTCTCCTCATAACTCATGTGTTCCAGACCCCTAATCATTTTTGTTGCCCTTCGCTGGACTCTCTCCAATTTATCCACATCCTTCTTGAAGTGTGGGGCCCAAAACTGGACACAGTACTCCAGATGAGGCCTCACCAGTGTCTAATAGAGGGGAACGATCACGTCCCTCGATCTGCTCGCTATGCCCCTACTTATACATCCCAAAATGCCATTGGCCTTCTTGGCAACAAGGGCACACTGTTGACTCATATCCAGCTTCTCGTCCACTGAAACCCCTAGGTCATTTTCTGAAGAACTGCTGCCTAGCCATTCGGTCCCTAATCTGTAGCAGTGCCTGGGATTCTTCCATGCTAACTGCAGGACTCTGCACTTGTCCTTGTTGAACCTCATCAGATTTCTTTTGGCCCAATCCTCCAATTTGTCTAAATCCCTCTGTATCCTATCCCTACCCTCCAGCGTATCTACCTCTTCTCCCAGTTTAGTGTCATCTGCAAACTTGCTGAGGGTGCAATCCACACCATCCTCCAGATCATTTATGAAGATATTGAACAAAACTGGCCCCAGGACCGATCCTTGGGGCACTCCGCTTGATACCGGCTGCCAACTAGACATGGAGCCATTGATCACTACCCGTTGAGCCCGACAATCTAGCCAGCTTTCTATCCACCTTATAGTCCATTCATCCAGCCCATACTTCTTTAACTTGCTGACAAGAATACTGTGGGAGACAGTGTCAAAAGCTTTACTAAAGTCAAGGAATAACATGTCCACTGCTTTCTCCTCATCCAAAGAGCCAGTTATCTTGTCATAGAAGGCAATTAGATTAGTCAGGCATGACTTGCCCTTGGTGAATCCATGCTGACTTTTCCTGATCACTTTCCTCTCCTCTAAGTGCTTCGGAATTGATTCCTTGAGGACCTGCTCCATGATTTTTCCAGGGACTGAGGTGAGGCTGACTGGCCTGTAGTTCCCAGGATCCTCCTTCTTCCCTTTTTTAAAGTAGCAACATATCTGTGCCTTTTGCTACGTTACTCCAGTGGGAGTTGTGGATGCTCAGAAGGGCAGCCTGGGGGCGCTGTGGAGGCACAGGGGTGGGGGGGGGGGGCAGCACACGGCCCAGGACCCCTGCTGATGCTGGGGGTGGGAGGTTGGTGGGGCTGGCAGGCTCCCTAACCAGCTCCTCGCAGCTCCCCAGAAGAGGTGACATGTCCCTCCCTCAGCTCCTAGTTCCGCATGCTGCCCATGCCCCAAGTGCTGCAGCTCCCATGGGCTAGGAAATGTGGACAACTGGAGCTGCTGGGGCCGTGCCTGCGGGCAGAGGCAGCGCGCGGAGCTAGGAGCTGAGGGAGGAACATGTCTCTGCTTCTGGGAAGTCTCCCAAGGTAAGCGCCACCCAGAGCCCTCACACCCTCCCCAACCCCCCGCACCCAAACTTTTGCTGCTGCTGGGAAGGGAGGGGGCCTGACACTGCCCCAGCAGCAGCCGGTGTGGCTGGCTCAGGGGCTGCCCAAGCCCCTCAGGCAGCCCCCAGGCCAGCCGGACCGGCTGCTGCAGAAGCCACAGAATCCATGACTTCCATGACAAACTCGCAGCCTTACTCATAAGCAGCGGTTGCTCTTACAAGGTTTGCTGCAAACAAGGATCTCCTGTAGTATTAAAGGCCAACTGGAATGCTAAAGACCAAAACTACTTTAGACTTTGGCACTATCTTTCATCTGCGGCTGTTAATAAGTTTGATGAAGATGGGCAAAAACTCTTGCCTCCACACATTAGAAAAGGGAGGCAAAAGCATGGCACTGCAGGGACGGAGGGGGTTTCTCCTTGCTGTAACAAATCCCTCCCCAGGGCAGCAGGTAGATAGCGACAATGCTGGGTCCACAGGAGGCGTTAGGTCGCCCTAACTAGGTTGCCCAGGGTGTGAAATGGGTCACAGCCCTGAGCCCTGCCGCTAGGTTGCCCTACGGTTTAGGTGTCAAGCCCAGGCCCGGGGGACTGGCCCATGGCCACTCTGCAGGCCGGTGGAAGTATGGGAACTAAACCCAGGCCCCCTGCACGGCGCAGCCCCTGATCTAGCCCCTCAGTTGCAGGGCTCTCCCCAGGCCGACGCTGCCCCCAGGGGCTGGGCTCCAGCCACACGCCCCCTTCCTTGGCCTCAGCAGCCGGGAGCCAGACTCTCGAGGCAGCAGCTTGGAGAACCGTGCCGGGGAGGGGGCAGCGCCGGCCCCCGGCCCGCCGGGGCTCCCGCGGCGCTGCGCAGGGGCTGAGGCGGCGGGTAGGGGAGACGGGGTGGGGGGCTCCCTCGGGCGCTGCCCCCAGCCAGGCCCACGGGGGCCTCCGCCCCGCGGCGCCTAGCAACCGGGTGACGCGGAGCGCGGGGCCGCCCCGCCTCACCTCGCCGATCACGTCGTGCAGGTAGCGGAAGGGGGGCTTGCTGAGCAGCCGGTCGGTGAGGGGCGGTTTGCGGATCACCCGCCCCAGCAACTCCTGCGTGCGCCGCACCACGGCCCCGTTCATGGCGGCCCCTCAGCACCGGCCGGGCCGGCTCGGGCTCCGACCCCTCCCGGCATGCACCGCGCCGCCCACGACTGCGCAGGCGCAGCGGCCGAGCTCGCTGTTACTACCCACATCGCGGCCCTAGCAACAGGCCGGAACAGCCCTACTGGGCCCCGCCCCCAGCGGCTCCCCCCGCTCTTGGAGCAGCCCCGCCCCTCCGTGCCGGGGCCGGGGCCGGGGCCGGGGCCGATCCGAGCACCAATGCGGTCAACGGGGGCAGGGGGCACCACCGGGACCATAGGGGCAGGGGGGCACCGATAAGGGATGGGGCAGGGGGCACCACGGGGACCATAGGGGCAGGGGGGCACCGATAAGGGAAAGGGGTAGGGGGCACCACCGGGGCGACGGGCAGGGGGGCACCGATAAGGGAACAGGGCAGGGGGCACCCCTGGGATGACAGGGGCAGGGGGGCAGCGTGAAGGGAAAGGGGCAGGGGGCACCACCAGGACCATAGGGGCAGGGGGGCACCCCTGGGATGACAGGGGCAGGGGGGCAGCGTTAAGGGAAAGGGGCAGGGGGGCACCACTGGGACCATAGGGGCAGGGGGACACCGATAAGGGAACAGGGCAGGGGGCACCACCGGGGCGACAGGGGCAGAGGGGCACCGATAAGGGAAAGGGGCAGGGGGCACCACTGGGACCATAGGGGCAGGGGGACACCAATAAGGGAACGGGGCAGGGGGCACCACCGGGGCGACAGGGGCAGAGGGGCACCGATAAGGGAACGGGGCAGGCGGCACCACCGGGACGATAGGGGCAGGGGGACACCAATAAGGGAACGGGGCAGGTGCATGCATCTGAAGTGGGGTTTTTTACCCACAAAGGCTTATGTTCAGATAAATCTGTTAGTCTTTTAGGTGCCACCGGACTCCTTGTTGTTTTTGTGGATACAGACTAACACGGCTACCCCCTGATACTTGACTGCCACTAATGTTTGGAATTAAAATGTTGATATGCCTATGAAAAATTGGGTTTCTTGTGGGTCATTATGGCTGCATACACCTTTATCAGCCCAACCTCCCAGCTCAGCTGCTCTGTTAAAGATCACCCTTGAGCAGCAATAAATTGGGAATTATTACAGGTTCACTTACCCCTCTCAACTTTTCTTTCCGAAACTATTGTATTCCCTCAGACAAACTCAAATTCAAGTGCTGCGGGGTAATGGAAAGTCTGAGTGAGAATGTGACTGAATAGGACTCTCAGAATCTGCTTCAGTCCAGGCAAGAGAGGGTGCCAAGCAGCAGGAGAGTTTGCCACTGCGCTCATGAGAGCAGGTACTTCAGCACAAAGAGCTTGGAGGGAAATAGTTTGTCTCTTTTTTTTTAGTTTGAAACAATCTGAAAGTGACGAGATTCCCAGACCAACTCCGTGTCAGAGGACCTCTGGCGCCTGGGAAGAGTAGGAGGTGGTGACAGTTTCCTACATCCAAGGGCTTTGGAAGGAGTCTCGTAGGAATCCAGAAGAATGGGAAGAAGAAACTGGGGAGGAGGAACTGTGTTTACTTTGGAACTGTCTGGTTTATTTGGACTTCTGCCACTGGCTCTCCATGGAGTGTCTGCAATGCCTGAGAAGGACTGGGAGGAAGAGTCCTCAGGGGTTCTGTTAAATGTAAACTTTAGTGTTTATTTGGATGGCGAGGTGGTACCCTGAGAAAGGATGGGTCGGTTTAGCTGGAGAGTCAGAGGCTAACAAGCCACAAAGACTGTGTAAATCCCTCTGGACCCAAAGAGAAGCACTTGGAATTGAAGGCCATGTCCTGGAGCAATGACACGGAGAAGGCTTGAGGCTTGGACTTGGTCTCTATTTCCTTTTTGGGGCCAACGGCTAGAACTGTCGCTGGTTGGGAGCTCCATTCTATCCCACTGTATTAAGATGGGAACTTGTGATGTGGTGTGAGGGGTGGGATCTGTGAAAAGGGGAGAAATATGAAGTCTAGAGAGCTCTTATCGGTGGGGTAGAGAGCTGAGCGAAGTGTTTCCGTTCAATTTCTGGGAGCACCCTAATAGAAGCAGAAAATGTGGATATAGAACACAACAACTGGGGGAGTGGTAAATAATGAAGAGGACCGGTCACTGATACAGAGTGATCTGGATTGCTTGCTAAGCTGGGCACAAGCAGACACACATGCATTTTAATACGGCTAAATAGATATGTCCAGGAACAAAGAACGTAGGCCAGAAGGATGGGGGCCTCTATCCTAAGAAGCAGTGACTCTGGGAAAGATGTGGGGATCATAGTGGATAATCAGCTGAGGATGAGCTCCAAGTGCAACACTGTTCCCCAGACACTAACAGTGGAGCATTCTGTTTTCAGCCTACATTGAAAACCCAAAAACAAGCACCTGATAGCTGTGCATAATACACTGTGGGGTTTCAGAAAACCCTACAGTGTGGAATTTTTAAAAAGCTTACACTAAAAATCATTTGCCTTCGAAACAACCACCCAATGCCAGGCAAGTCAAAATCAAGAGAAGTAAGCAGAAAACTTAGAACTAGGAGAGAATTGCCATGTACTAGGGAGAGACTTCCTTGGAACTTTCTTTTGAACTTTCCATCCCTTATATTCAATGTTTTAAAAATAATTATTACGCCTCAAAGGCCAAAATCTGCCCAGAGAACAAGGATGCACACAACTATTTTAAAGAAGCCTTACTGAGGGCACAGGAACAAATCATCCTGATGTGCAGAAAGAATAGCAAATATGGCAGGTGACCAGCTTGGCTTAACAGAGAAAACTTTGGTGAGCTTAAACACAAAAAGGAAGCTTACAAGAAGTGAAAACTTGGACAGATGACTAGGGAGGAGTATAAAAATATTGCTTGAGCATGCAGGGGTGTAATGAGGAAGGCCAAAGCACAATTGGAGTTGCAGCTAGCAAGGGATGTGAAGAGTAACAAGAAGAGTTTCTACAGGTATGTTAGCAGTAAGAAGAAGGTCAGGGAAAGTGTGGGACCCTTAATGAATGGGGAAGGCAACCTAGTAATAGAGGATGCGGAAAAAGCTAATGTACTCAATGCTTTTTTTCCCTCTGTCTTCACAGACAAGGTCAGGTCCCAGACTGCTGCATTGGGCAGCACAGTATGGGGAAGAGACGAGCAGCCCTGAGTGGTGAAAGAACAGGTTAAGGACTATTTAGAAAAGCTGGATGAGCACAAGTCCATGAGGCCAGATGCACTGCATCCAAGAGTGCTGAGGGAGTTGGCTGATGTGATTGCAGAGCCATTGGCCATTATCTTTGAAAATTCGTGGCAATTGGGGGAGGTCCCGGATGACTGAAAAAGGCAAATATAGTGCCCGTCTTTAAAAAAGGGAAGGAGGATCTGGGGAACTACAGTCCCTCGAAATATCATGGAGCAGGTTCTCAAGGAATCCATTTTGAAGCACTTGGAGGAGAGGACGGTGATCAGGAGCAGTCAACATGGATTCCCAAGGGCAAGTCATGCCTGAACAACCTGATTGCCTTCTATGATGAGATAACTGGCTCTGTGGAAATGGGGAAGCAGTGGCTGTGATATACCTTGACTTTAGCAAAGCTTTTGATACAGTCCCCCACGGTATTCTTGCCAGCAAGTTAAAGAAATATGGATTGGATGAATGGACTATAAGGTGGATAGAAAGCTGGCTACATCGCTGGGCTCAGTGGGTAGTGATCAACGGCTCGATGTCCAGCCAGTATCAAGCGGAGTGCCCCAGGGGTTGGTCTTGGGGCCGGTTTTGTTCAACATCTTCATTAATGATCTGGATGATGGGATGGATTGCACCCTCAGCAAGTTCGCAGATGACACTAAGCTGGGGGAAGAGGTAGATATGCTGGAGGGTAGGGATAGGGTCCAGAGTGACCTGGACAAATTGGAGGATTGGGCCGAAAGAAATCTAATGAGGTTCAACAAGGACGGAAGAATCCCATGCACTGCTACAGGCTGGGGACCGACTGGCTAAGCAGCAGAAAAGGAGCTGGGGATTACTGTGGATGAGAAGCTGGATATGAGTCAACAGTGTGAACTTGTTGCCAAGAAAGCTAACGGCATATTGGGCTGCATTAGTAGGAGCATTGCCAGCAGATTGAGGGAAGTGATTATTCCCCTCTATTCGGCACTGGTGAGGCCACAGCTGGAGTACTGCGTCCAGTTATTGGCCCCCCCGTTACAGAAAGAATGTGGGCAAATTGAAGAGAGTCCAGCAGAGGGCAATGGAAATTATTAGGGGGCTGGGGCAAATGACTTACGAGGAGAGGCTGAGGGAACTGGGTTTATTTAGTCTGCAGAAGAGAAGAGTGAGGGAAGATTTGATAGCAGCCTTCAACTAACTGAGGAGGGGTTTCAAAGAGGATGGAGCTAGGCTGTTCTCAGTGGTGGCAGATGACAGAACAAGAAGCAATGGCCTCAAGTTGCAGTGTGGGAGGTCTATGTTGGATATTAGGAAACACTATTTCACTAGGAGGGTGGTGAAGCACTGGAATGGGTTCCCTAGGGAGGTGGTGGAATCTCCATCCATAGATTTCAGAGTAACAGCCGTGTTACTCTGTATTCGCAAAAAGAAAAGGAGTACTTGGCCAGAAGAGTACCAGAAGTCACCTACTACAGGACAGGCCTAAGAAAGAAAATAACAGAACGCCACTAGCCATCACCTTCAGCCCCCAACTAAAACCTCTCCAACGCATTATCAAGGATCTACAACCTATCCTGAAGGATGACCCAACACTCTCACAAATCTTGGGAGACAGGCCAGTCCTTGCCTACAGACAGCCCCCCAACCTGAAGCAAATACTCACCAGCAACTACATACCACACAACAGAACCACTAACCCAGGAACCTATCCTTGCGACAAAGCCCGTTGCCAACTGTGCCCACATATCTGTAAACAGTGTCAGGATGAGCTCCACCCTGACATCTGGTGGTGAGGCGTGGCAAGTTGTGGAAAAGAACTTCAGGGGCTGATCTCATTTGCATAGGCACACCCACCCCGCCTAGAATGAGGCCATAGCTGGCCAGATGGTCACTTTGGCTGCTGTGGGATCCC